ATTGGACTAGGTTACTTGAATACTTGACCAAAAGGAACTGGTGTTTATACTATATTTCTATATCAAGAAAAATTTTGATGGTGAACCTAATGACCTTCTAATCAACAGGCTTCAGGATATACTAACTTCCTGTTGCAGTGGAATTTATCTTTTCTCAGGATTAGATAACAAATAGGTAAAATAATCTCCAAAGCCTCGACACGTTGACCAATAACCAGTGGTGTTCTGTAGGGTAGTATCTTGAATCCATTGATTTTTTACTATCTACATCAACAATTTGTGCATTATTAAGACCTACGATGAGTATTTAAAAGTTATTTATAAAACCGATATCTGCGAGGTACGTTGTATTCCGCAAACAATCCATCATGAACTCAACAAGGTAGATAACTGATGTAGGGACAAGAGCTTGTGACTCGACACAGAGGAATATAGCTGGTTATTTATCGAAGACGCGTCCGTTAAAACAAAACTGACTTGCATCGAAAACGTGCTGCCAAAACTCACATTGTTAAAAAAACCTTGGGGAGGATTGCCCTCACAGTCTTAACTTCTCTGAGTATATCATCACTAAAGCACCTGAAATGCAGAAGCCGATAGGCTTCATTTTTCGTAACCTCTTTCAAAGTGGATCTAAAATCATTATTTACAAGATATGTATAAGAACAAACGTTGAATACCGTTAGTTCTTATCTCCCAAAAGGCTCCTATCCGATCTACAAAAGATAAGAGGAATACAGCCGGATTTGATTCGTAAAATGTTTAAAACTGATTCGCTCTCTGACTATCACTCCCGATGCCACATCCTAGGACTTAAAATTTTTTGTAATTAAGGCTTAGGTCCCATTTGATTCTCCGCTTCAATCTTTTCAAATATTTTACTTACAACACATGTGGTGTAGCTCCTACCTAGGGCCCATATACCTAGGACCTTTGGGATAAAATATCTAGGGTCAAAGTTGATAAATATCAATGAAGTAGGTACTATTATGGAATAATTGCGGGTACTGGGTATGCTTTCCTACATTCGCTACACAGACCAACATTTATAATTTTATGTCGGATTCATCAATAATATTTGTTTAAATAATGATGTAAATTTATATTTACAATGAAATCCAGGACCATCATTTACCCAATCACCTTGTTTCGTTTTCAACCGGGCAATAGAGCGTATGTTAACTACCTAGACAGTTATTCTTCAGTCCAAACCTTCTTTTGGGTTCTACAAATGTTGTTATTAAAAATAGCCAGGGAGTATTATATGTATAAAGATATCGTGGTGACTCGCTTTAGTAAAGAGAAGAACTAATATCGCATTTGATGGAGTGACACCAGAGTATTGCTGAGCACAATGTGGGTTAAAACGATTTGGTTCTCCAATGAATATGGCGGTGTGTGAAGCAACGAGCTACTGTATATGAGCGTGTGTGTATATTATGGCATGGTGCTCCACATCAAATTCTTTCTGATTCGTTGTGTTTTACAGGACATAATTGTTGTTCGTCCATTCTTTTACCCTGTTTTTATTTCAACTTTTACGATGGACTCTTTAAACAATCGTTTATATTCCTCGATCTTTCAGGCCTGGTCTTTTGTTATTTGACTTTGGGATCTGTCTTAATTACTCGTTTTGTCATTGTAGAACGCCGGACCACTGGAGATAACGTCGCCTCCGACTGGACTCAAGGTCATGCTATGGTTCAGTCCATTTGAAAACAAGTAATACTTGATGTGATGAACTCGATTCACTATATCTCGTCGAATTCTAGGAACCTGCCTAGTATTTCGTTTATGTCACCATATGACTTCACATATGGTTTATTTGCACCCGGTTAATCTCTATTTCAAGCTTTTACAGAATGTTTGTTGACGAAGAAATATGAGTTTTTTCATTTAGCTGACGACTCCTAGACAATTTTTACGTCCTATAAAATATACAACTTTCCAAGTACTCTATCTTTCAATACTACGTTAGTGAGCAAATAATTGTATCAGAAATAGGAATTTATAATTATTTACAACACCGTGCACATTAGTTCTACACTGTTGTACTTGCTAGAATTTTTCAGACTTCAGTCACCAAGAAAAGAGACACCTCAATGGTTCGATTGAGCCAATAAAGAAACAGGTAAATGGCTAATCAAAAATGGGAGTTTCAAAAGGGGAGAAATTTTCAAAATGCTGACCCCCAAACTACACCGATTGACAATTGCCAAACTTTGTTTTGTAGTCGTTTACTCTTGTTCTGTGTTCACTAACACGCCTATTAAACTATTTGCGTATTTCACGTCCCCCTTATTTCTATTCCCTTATTTTCTTCCTTTCCCTCTTTAAACTCAATTCAATATTCTTCTCAATCACACAGAACCTGATTTATTATTACTATTATTATTATTATTCTATTATTGTTATTATTATTCTCTTTTTCAAATTTGGCAAATATAATGCTAATATTATTGAAACTTGCGTATTATTGCGTTTTTGAAAAAGCTCAAAATGGTTTCTTCACAACAATTATGTACCCATAAGATGTTTGTGAATAATAATAATGATAATGATAATAATAAGATTGACATCATGAAAACAGTAAATTACGTCTTCATCATGTGACTAGTCTCTCGAGATGAGTGCCATTAACAGAATATTCAGATGTAAATAGCATAAACTCTGCGTTACTCTTGTGGTTTATTCAGTTTGCACTCTTTGCTGAAGTTTGCTGATAATAGTGTACAATATTTGGGGGGGAAATATTTATAGGAGACTCATTGTCTTTTCGACACAGCTTCACGTTCTCAAAAGTTTATCATCCGTGGTTATTTCGAAGATAGTTCGTATATCATCTGATAAAATAGCAGTGGGACATGAAATAGGGTGTTTTCCTCCATCATTTGCAAAGAAACGTATATCAAACCAATTATAAAAGATTAGGCACAAACTCAACATTTGTGTCATACAACCTCACCACGTCTTAAGTGTGTTTATTGCTATGTGATGCTGTTTTGCGTAGATTTGTCTATCATAACTTCCACAAATTAAGTCATTGATCCTAAAATTCCTATTCTGTGCAGTGAATGACTGGCTGTTGATGGTTTTCTCACGACAGATCTAGCTGTCTACATTTCTCCGAGGTGCTGTTACCAAGGCTAGACTTGATAATTTCAAAGAAATTAAGCATTGGCCAGATATAGAATAGTAGAAATAGTATATTTGTAATGTCCCAACTGTATCTTATTGCATCAAAATAACCCACTTCTTTATCATTTAGCCTACACAAACTGAGATAAATAAACGTGCCTTGCATATATGGCAAGTATAATGCTAACATTATTGAAACTTGTGTATTATTGCATTTTTTGATGAAACGTAAGATCTTATAGGTGAGGCAGTTATATCATGACAAATCTACGATTTTAGGATTAGGTCTATTATTAGCGCAGTACAAATACCATAGTAGACCATAATTCTACATAGTCATTCCTGGCGAAAGTACTTACTTCTCGTTGTAATTTGACACTTATGTTGGCACTTGGATCAACCAGGATAATACACACACACACTAAACATGGTGGAGTATTTGTTCCATTATTGTCGATTTAGCCTCCCCTTGCTTTTCGGTAGAACACCTCCGACACTTCAATATTTAATAGGACCAGGGAGTTTCAGATACTTTCCGTCTACTTTGCTAAGCTTTTTTGTGACTGCTATGCTTCTACTATTATTTTTCGTAACAACACCACACTGCTCCATTTCAGTGTCCGCAAGTGACATTTATGACCTGTGAATTCGTAAGTGAATGTGCCAATATGTGCGCATCGTGTCCCCCTCGGAGTTATGGTTTCATTGGCCAAATTTCCGACAATTGTTGATGGGGCTGAGTACGGGAGGCTCCAGGGTACGTGGATTTTTATGTTTGATGAATTTTGTCGTTAGATTTTTCTCATACTACGAGAATACGCACTTGGATAGTGGGCGTTGCGACACAGTATGAACCAATTGAACCGCTTGGATATTATGGTGTCACTACGTAAGTGAATCCAGTCACAATAGTAGCCGCCTTTCGATTCGGAGACGCTCGTTCCATTTAGTAGATGGTACACTATGCAGCCGTCAATTTTGTGTCTTACTTCTTGGACGAACAGTGTTTCTGAGTATTTAGTCATGGGGCTCTCTCCCTTGCTATTCTTTCACTGCTTAAATATGTCATTGGAGATAAAATCTTTGTCTGGGTGGGATCCTTTCTGCCTATTGAGGTATTAGCGTTTGGTGTTTGATTGGTGTGATCAATACTGTGTACATAACCATGGGGTATTTTCGCAATAGTTTGGGGGATTTAAACTTGCTCATTGGGGGTTATTTATGGATCGTTGACTTGTTATCAACTCTTGCAGTAAGGTCCCGATCAGTAGTCTTTATTGTCGCACTGCAGGTACCCGGAGGTATACTAAGACCGCACGTCCTATCAAGCCGATTCATGCAGTTGCAGCAGTTGTTCCATAGATCCACTGTTTGCAAGTGACTGAACAGTTGAATGTTACAGTTGCGTCAGATAGAGAGATGGCAGTTGGCTGAAATAATAAGTCTTATCACGTGGAGGTCCAGCCTTATTTTGACAGCATTCAGAGAGCATTCCACTGTGGTTGATCTTTCAGCAAAGCCAACTGCAATTAGCATTTTCAGAGTAGTTGGATACTTCGAATATGTTGTTAAAATCTGATCGCTTTTGCTTGCTATTGATTAGCATAAGAGTTCGCCACAGACCAACCTCAAATTGTTGCAACGATATGACAGTGAGAGCTATCAAAAGAAAGCTGGCCGTGACATACTTACTCTAATAGACTGTCAATCACGGAAGCCCGTTAGGTAAAAGCTTCTTCTATTCTATCTACAACCATCTGAACCATTTGAATCAATCTACTTTGTCTGCTTCGAAAAGACTGAAGTATACAGTTGGCGGGGTGAATAACCTTGGAACCGGCTTTGAGTTAGAGCGCACTTCAATGTTGACGTTCGAACCAATCAGTCGAATAGCTGTTGTAAGTATACTCTGTATATTTTAATATGATTGCTTGTCAGAAAATAAATAAATTTAGACCCAGTCTGTGCATCGCTTTTAAGTGAATTTAGCCTTAAAAAGATGTAAGGCATTGTCTATCAATTGTCATCTTTTGACTCATGAGGTAGTCATGAGTTTATTGTTCTAATGCGTCCACGTAACTTTACTTCATCTCAGAAAATTTTTCCAAAATACCCATCCATCAACGAATATTCCTTCGGTCGGTTTTATATAATGAAAACACTTATTAGGAGACCATATAAGTCCAAAAGATTCATAAAAGATCTGATTTCTATACCTCTAGGAATAGGTTATGACCTTCGTTATTGATAAAGTCTGAATTATGTAGCACTTGTCCTCAGTGGGCGAACATGTCTTTTTCAATATGATTACATGGCGAGACTATAACTTTTGGACGAACCAACCAAATGCTGTCTACCTACTTGAATCAGCAGACATTTTTTGGAAAAGTAAAAACATTATCCAATCAGTCCGAAAACTAACTATGGTTGCCTTGCTTGTGGTTGCGTCTTCTCAGTTGTTAAAATACAACGATGAGTAAGTCCTTTCTCCAGGAATGATCACGTCATTAATTTGCCGAAGGAGACTAGCTTTACGTGTCGAAGGGCAGCGATTAAACGGTCTTCAAACATCCGACTCAGATATGAGAAACCGTAGATGGTTAAGAATGTCCTAAGAAAACCATCGATGAACGGTCAATAACTGTCCAGCACAGTGATTTTTAGGGTTAGCAATTTAATATGTAGAAGTTCGGACAACCAAATTTACACAACACAACGGTGACTGTCGTTGTTGCGATTACCAGGCGTACATGCTACTATGGTAAGTGGTATGTCTTGGTTTCTCCCGTCCGTCAAACCCAAAAAGTAATCAGGCCTCTCCACATAACGTCTATTAACTCCAGGAATCGAGGGGATCTGACCAAAACCGTTCAGATCTGATACTTCATCAGTATTGACGTACACTATCAGGTAATGTGTCATGAAAACTAGTCTAGATCGTTAAGCCATAGTCTAACCAACTAAACAAAATGAACCCTAGTGTCGGTTGACCTCGATCAACAACCCATTATCCAGGACATCGAGAGCACAACAGCACAAGCTGAACTTGCAGATGAAATAATGTACCAACCTGCCCTAGACTAAGATCTGTTGGGAATGCCGCGAGTGCTGTGAATCTACCATCTTGACTCATCTCAACAGTCAATGGCTTAATGGACTGATACCACGTTTTGTTTAAACTTGAAATTGAATGACTGGCCTCGGTTCAACCATCACTTTCTTTTTTCAGCTAATTGTCGTCTGTCGGTTTAGGAAGTGGTCCGACTTATGCAGTGTTCGTACCTCGTTAATCGATTCCTCAGTTTACCTAGTACCCTGTTTCTGACAGCAGGATTATTAACTTAGTCTTTCTACGAGATGCGAGCAGCACTTCGAAGACAGCCATGATAAAAGCATGCAGCCTACAGATGTCTTATACTTTCATAGACAGTTTCAGTCATAGAGTGATATAAAGCGGACTGGTGCACAGTATACTCGCTTCTTGACTGAAAACCGATATCTCACTAGTATTAAAATCTAACTATCTAGTATTGAAGTAGATGGGATGTTATTATAGCCTAAAACCTTTTGATTTAAAACTGAGTACTTCAGTCTCCCGCTTAAGTTGGTTTGTACGAATTCATCGACTGGTTTCGTTTGCACTCATTCTTTTTAGTTTCACTGCAAACAATGTCTTATATCACGTCGGATTACCTTTCAGCATATATAACGCATACTCTTATCGTCTTGTTCAGTGCATATTTTCATTGAACGTTTGATGTTATTTATCCATTTACCGCCATAGTTATATATGTAGGAGAATGTATCATATTTCTTCGTATTAACTTAGCAAGTTTGTTAAATAGCTGCTTGTTCACTGTGACCTTATGTAAATTTCAATGTAAAATAATTATTCAGTCTTACAGGTATTGTGCTGCTAAACATTGACAAATTATTTAAGATTACTAACCGATTCAAATCATTATAAGCAGAGATGAGTAAAGGTCAGCAGTGTAATCCAGGAATCCCGTTTCGTCCCATTTGAGACTCGTCGTCTAGATGTACCTGAATTCCAGCATGAGATTCAACTATGGGATCCAGGTACATCCAGCTGATGAAACCTAAATAGGACGAAACTCAAGTACTGGATTACACTGCTAGCCACCATTCATCTCTGCTTATAATGCTTGCGACTCAGAGCAATTTCGAGGCAATTCACATATGTCAATAACAGACTGATCGATTGCAGCCCTCAACTTTATTTTAAAAAAATGCAAACTACCAATACAAATGATTCAAGTTATGTTAGATCTTTCTGTAATTTTATTTATCGATATATCAAAATTTTAGCATTACTTTCACTTGATCCTCCTTTCTGTTTTTCAGGTCAAATGTTTGGGACCACGTTTAGTTTTATTCTTTAAAACATTTGCTTTATTCTATGTTCTTTATCCGAAATATGAGTCGACTGTGGGTTATTGTGTTTTCAAATGCGCACCTATTTTATCACTTGTTGCATTTGTTTATATGTATGGGGTTAAGATACCAAACAATCAAGCCTATTCTTTAAAAATTTTTCTTGGTCTTCTATTCTCTTGTCTAGGCGATGCATTTTTGGTATGGCCTAGTCTTCTTATTCCTGGCATGGCTATGTTTGCCATTACACATATATTATACATTTACGCATTTGGTTTTCAACGTTTAAAACTATCTATATTGTTCATTTTACTGCCAATACTTCTCTGTGTATGTGTTTCTGTAAAAGAAGGACTAGACGGTATCAATACACTTGTTATTCCAGCTTATGGATTAATATTAGTAATTATGGTATGGCGTGCATTAGCCCAATTAACTAAACATGAATATTCTATACCATGGACATGTATAGCTTCTGCCGTTGGTGGATTACTATTTGGTGTATCTGATACTATATTGGGAATTTGTTTATTCTCTAGCGATATATCGTCATTTAAATGTAATTTAATTTTACCAACGTATTATGCTGGTCAGTTGTTGATTTCTGTATCTGTTGTTGATAGCCATTTAACATCAATAAAAACGAGTCCATATCATGAAGATAAAAAGCAGTAGTAGTTGCGTTCCTTTATTAAATAAAAAGCCTTTTCTTCCATCACCTGTTTATTTTCTCTGCTTTTTGACATATATTTGTCTTCATTACTTCTTTGTACTTTTTAGCTTGCTTATTATTTCACGATGTGTTCATATTGTTGTTCATAGTTGATGATAAATAAATAAACGCTTATTTTTGCATCTGTTATCTTGTTTTATTACATACCTGTCTATGTATGGCATTGTTTCTTGTTAACTAAATCATACTTCAATCAGATGTGGTAGGTAGTATAAAGGGAGTAAATTTTCAAAATAATCATACAATAAAATACTACACGGTATCAAATTTAATTTGAAGTTTTCTTTAATTGGGGAGATTTTGTCATAGTATATTTTCAGGTTTCGGTCAACAATAGAGCCAAGGATGCATGTTTTGTCCTATTTAGGACTTGACAACTAGACGTTCATGCATCATACTAGAGCTATAACCTAGTATTTATCGCTGCGATGCGGATTCATACATTTGATAACTCCTTAGTAATATGAAATACGCCTCTTGAATTTTGGTGCCCATCATAATTCAAGAATTTACCAAAAATATCCATTTCTAAGCAATATCGATGCATCCATTGAGGATGTTTATGTGTTCACAGAGGTTGTGTTGAATATCAACAACCGGAAAATACAAACTCTTTCAGATAGCCGATTATGGTTTGATACAGCTCTTAGTGCTTCACTTTCTAATAAGACTATTCAGAGGGCTAGTATCCGTAAAATATACCCCTCATTAATTTGTTTTTCATTGATAACGGATTATCAGCACTACTTTCTTCGAAATAAAGTAGTTGTTAGATTACTTGCCATATCAAAAGGTGTGGCTACAATTGATGTTCACTTTTGCATTCTGTAAATATTAATCATAGGTTTATCTTTGACGTGTGGTTAAGTTACGACTGACTTTATGCTTCTACTTTTGTATCAGACTTCGTAGTTCTCTGTAAAACAAAACTCAATGTACAGAAGAAATCGGCGCCTGTCTCAATTCTTCTGAGGTACGAAAAGTTCTAGAGAGAATACCATCTCGTTTATCCTTCCCATTCTATCCGACCGATACTTATGGGCTAATAAAAGTATTAGGATTTCATGTCTTCCTTTTATCAAGTTTTATGACTTTAGTGTTATAATTCCGGTTACCTTTGGGGTTAGTGGTTCGGTTCCTATAGTTTGTGGGTTTCTATCATTATTTCCTTACACAAATAGCGAATGTATTGAAGGAATAAGTGTTTGCAATCGTATGACTCGTTTTATTAGCACTTTCCTTAGAGAAGCAAAATTGTTTGACAAAGTTTGCAGTTTATCTCTGCCTTTTTTCTCAATTTAGGACAAATAATATTTTATAAAGAAAGAGACACTTTAAAACTTGTTTGCATTTGAAGAATATTCTTTTAAGATAAAATCAATTCAATCGGGGTCCATGCACAGACGCAGTGATCGTTTGTTTCCTATTCATCCCCATAATTTGAATAAAGTTATACAAGATGAATGGAATACTATTATACAATGGTTATGTGATGTTTTATCGTCTGGTGATATCATGTGTGAAATTAATCCAGTATTTACTACTATTCAAAGGTTAGTTATGTCGATACTATTACATTTAATAATCATTTTATTAATCTGGTTCTTAATCCACAGTGTATATTTGGAAACGTTTCGAGGAAGCGTATGTACTTTGATCCTTAATAACCAAATTTCATTCGCTTGTACATGAAATATTTAATTGTGAAATAGATCACTTTTTAGTGAGATAATTCAAAAGGACTTAATTTGCTGAGAAGCGATACAAATTTATGTTATGTGATAGCGACCTCAAATTAAATTTACACAACAACAATCTAGACATTGGGGTGGTAGCTTAGTAGTTGGGCCACTCGGCTTCCAACCAGTAAGTTTCGGGTCCTAACTTCTTTCCATCTACTTCAGTTTGGGCATCCGAGTAGTGTCTCTACCACCCATGCATCCAAAGTATCGCTTAAAACTGAGCAAACAAACATGTACTTGGCAATTAAGCTACAATAAGGTAGATCATAGATCTAAACTTAACTCTTCTATGTCAGTCTGAAGGACACACATTAGTACAGAAATACTTTGCAGAATCGAATTTACAGATTAGTCGATATGACCACACTGATAAGTTTCTCGATAACCCATTCAAATCGAATAGATTTTCTAAAACAGAGTCACTAAATGACTGAATTTATCACTAGAGAATCTATTATGTTATCTTTATACGAGATATTCAGCTAACGGAGTATGCTTTAACAATGATTAATGGGAGGAAGCCGAAAAAAACCGATCAACCTGTAGTACCGCATCCATTGTATTACCTATGAACATACATTATTGTTTAGATTGTGCAATCATTCTAATGTTTATTCATAATCAATGAAATGTCCTTTTTTATCGCTATCCCTCTAGATTTATCAATATATTTGGAATGCGTTTATCCAAAACACAACGCATTGCTTTAATTCGTCTAACTGTAGCTTATATATGTTGTCCAAATATTGATACGCAGGTTATATTCAATGCGTTAGAGCTTTTAAACAAGTTGATGAGGTATGAGTATATATGTGTATGTGCATTTACTCAAATACTTAATGTTTCAATCACTTTGCATTTTTATTCAGTCGTAGGTATAGATGATTAACCTATAATTAGTGAGTTTTTAATTCTGTGCATTACAGATATTGCTTATAATATATAGTTAGTCACTCTGTCGTAGGCAACTTCGAACGCGGCATGAATTTGTAACTATTCAGGCTATAACATGTCACATCGTTATAGCGATGTAAAAAATCGAGAAAACGAGAAAAAGGTGGATATTAAAAGAACATAATTCTAAAGAAACAGACACGATCGAAGAATAACTTCAAGATTTAGGTGTAAACAGATAATAAATTACACTAAGTCTCTGTAACTGGATTTTACCCCTTATCTCCTAAGTTCTTTAATCATAGATTGTGATTATCGTGCCATCTCTAACCTGAAAGTTTGCACTTCCTGAAACCATAGATCAGCAAAAATAACTTCAAGGATTGATACGATATCTTGGTTTGATCTCTGTTGGTTTCCAATCTAGCCACAATTGCACGTCAAGGTAGGCCATTGTTAGTCATGCTTAACGTATGTCTCAATTATCCGTTTTGATGAGGGTTTAACCGACTTACTTTTTCTTCTTAAACCATAAGAATACCTCGGCATTACTCACCTGGTGCTTCCACCATATGCAAGTAATGTTTCTTATACACTTATGATTGGATGCTTAGAACGAACTAATGTATCATAGTTTCACAGTTGTGAAATAACGCATAACGCATACACTTCAGTATCATTGCTTTTAAATATGCAGACAGACATCTCATACTACATTTGTAGTGTTTATAAATTAATATTTAATTGTTTATTATGTATAATTTTTTCATTTAACTCTTGTGCAGTAAATCATATTCTCTACTATCATCAACCTTGTCTATTAACTGGAAAAACTTCTTTGATATGCGAGAATGGATTGATGATGCGTGGCAAGCGAATTTTCACTTAATTCAACTGTCTAAGTAAGTTATAGTAATTATTATTTGTTCACTCAACCATGATGCCATCAGAATGACTAATTTATTACTACTTAATTGGAAGAACACATAAACCAACTAAATGATTACTACAGACGAGAGAACACTGGGAATCCATTAGTTGCTATTGGTTCAGAGCTTTATTACCAATACATAATCTTGACTTTTTTAGTATTAAACGCAAAACGTTTATTTCCGATGGTAAGCTTAATGTATTTTTGAATTAATTTCCAACGGTTTTATGAAGTACCTAAATAATGCACCTGCTGTTGAGAACTTTCTGTTTTCTTGTTCACCTTCACTGACAATAGTTCGTTGTTTATGCATAATTATATCCTATTGCATCAATTACGGTTACTTTTTCTAGAATACTCTCCAATATCTTTATTTTGGGATTTTAATTCTTGACAGCTTACTGTTGGCATGATGATATGTGTGTTTTTTATCTTTAATTTTGACTATTTACTAATACTTGGGGCGTTGCGTTAGATTTTTACTTCTAGGTTTGAATAGTCCCAATGAAATATTTCGCACGATGAAAGGGAGTTAGTTTTATTTTCTAAGATATTGTTATAAAAAAAGTGGTAAAGATTCATAGAACGGATCAATGATCCATTGTTTGCTTGGTTTTGACTATTCTTATGTTATGGAACAGGTAAATCACTCAGCTTTCTACCGGGTTATTGCAGGTTCAATCCTCTCTCCGCCTATTTTAGTTTGCGCAACCAGGTAGTATCACTTGTCCTCCCATACAAGTAAAATATATCTGAAAGCTGAGTACATAAATCTTTACTTAGTACATAAGCAAATTATTCGTTAATCATGCAAATTACTTAAATGAAAGATAACGTTGGATTTTAATGAATGATGAGCTCTCTTACATAGTGTCAACATAATGCAACGACACAATGTTTCCTGATTTTCAACTGTTTACAAGACAGATTTATTGATACATACACTCAAATAAATCAGTATCAAAAGAGATCTGATCAATAGAATAGGTCTTTTAGTCTACTTTTGATCACAAAAGTAAACATAATTAGTTACGTCATTTAACAAATAAACGATTAAGTAGTAATAGTTTTGTAGACTATTCACATCTCAATTAAAAATCTCCTATTGAGCTGATTATTTTTTGTAAATTAAAAAGAAGTCAACTGTACTTATCGAAATCTAGCAATTTCAAATTTACACAGTTTTATTATTGAATGTTGTTTATCCTTTTCTTCATTGTTATAGGATATAATAAACATGTATTTATAATAATGGATAAATAAACACATGATTTATAATAAATATAATAACAAAACAATAAATATACATTTTATTTTGTTTATCACAAATATTCAATCAAATTTATACACATATAACTTAATAAATATCGTGTTTCTCATCACTAGGTATTAGTGTATCATGAATTTTATTGGTGGATATTTAAATGGTTTATGCTTTTCAGCTGATTTCAATTAACTCCTAATTTGTAGTTTTTCTTTTCGGTGAACAATTACATATATATTTGTGACCAATCGATTCTCAAAGTTTCCACCTTACAGCTGCGAAATAATATCTTTAAAAGTAGAGGATATATGTTGGAACTACCAACTGACCAGTACAAATATCGGGTCAAATGTATTAACTAAGAGAGTTGTTTGTTTAATGAAGTGAAAATTCTTCATTTATTGAGTTTGTTGGAACTCGTGTTATTCATGCGACTTACCACCGCGAGTTATTATGGCTAAGGTTGAAGTAAATATAACAGAGGCTAAAGGTGATGATTCAATTAAAATATGATATCAGTCATCAGAATCATTGACTAGCATATTGATTTGTAGTTTTAGGTTCAGGCTTTCTGATTGTGATTTTCAGAACAGACATAATTCGTAATTGAAGACTTAAGGTGATACAGTTCGTATTCGATTTGAGTGAGGTATATGAAACATTTCAATTGCTTATGAGTTTTTGTACATAGCTTAGGAAATAAACATCTTAGTGTTAGAGCCATTGATGAAATTTGATAATTTAGAGAAATTAGATAATGAATCACCCGATATTAGATTTACTTAGGATTCAGACAATGGTAAGTTACCTTTTCTGGATTGCCTAGTTATAGAAGGGATGAAAATGGATATTTTGATGTGATTGTTTTTGGAAAGGCAACGCACTCGAACGAATATTAAGGTTTCGAAATCCTCACACTCCATCAGTGAAAAAGTATCAGTTGTCTTCAGCTTTTTAAGAAGGGCACACACGTTGATGACAAGTGAAAAAGAGAAGAACGTGGGACTAATGAACATAACCAAAATTTTTAAAATAAATAACAGATGAAATCAACAGAGTACTTTAATGCAACATAGAGGTGTTCTTTAAAACATTCGATATACTACTAAGCAACTTTGTTCATCTTAAAAAACAAAATATTTAAGGATTCACAATCTAATTCTGCCTAAATTAGAATGTTCAAACTATGACTCAGTGCACATTCGATAAACATTTCGAGAAACTAGGATCAAAACAAGTATGAACATCGTAGAGCTGCTACGTGAACATCGAGGAATTTAGTAAAATTTGAAAAAACTGGTCATAGATTCACGTGCTATAGTATCACGCCACAAGATTAACTTTGGTAGTATTGAAATTGTTCAAAACATTTTTAAGATCACAATGGCTCATGGCAGAAACACTCCATAATAGATGGAATTCAAATTGTCTGAATAGATACAAGGGGCTAAGATTAAATTTTACTTTACCCTAACACCTACTCTCTTACTTCAGTCAATAAACTATATTAAATTTATCTATCATTGTTAACTAAATAGCATATTCATTTCTCATCAAAGCGAAGACGCTGATAAAATGCAGAGCCTTTTCATAGACCCCAAATGCCCTGGTATGGCCGAGAGCGGGATGGGTTCGCCCTCCCTCTCGGAATGCTCTCACACGTCCACGCATATACAGCCTCTGCCAGGGAAGTCCTACTCACTGCCTTCTCGTGGCGGGGGACGAAAAGCGAATGTGCGGCGCTTTAACCGGGTCCCAAACCAAATCAATGGTGCACATGGGCTCCAGTATCCTGCGGGAACAAATGGAGTATGAACCAATTCCTTGGTCACCGGCTACCATGGGATTGCATCTCCTCACGATGCTCCACTGCCTTGTGGGTTACACGTTCAGGTCGAAGGCTCGGGGTGTGACCCCCTAAGACAACCACCTGCTTCGGTTTGGGCACCCGAGCAGTATCTCAGCCCGCACACAAAAACACTAAAACATGATAAACTGTCTACATATGAAAAATATTCCTCTCGCTCCAAATAACAAGTGTGGCGCATATATATTTGGCGCACCCTTGTACCAATATGTATGTGTTCAAATAACACATGATAAACTTCTGATAGCACTGAGCGACCACGCCAGAATGTTTGGGATGCGTTTCTCCTCCTCTAAATAAAAGTTGTTCCTTCAAGACAGGTCTGCGTCAACACCCGAAGTAGTCGAACGCGTCGGAAATTTCACTCATCTTGGAAGTCTGATAAACCCTAACGGGTTATTGTTTGATGAAATCTCAGCACGGATTCAGAAAGCTCGTTTGGCTTTTGCCAACTTACGTCACCTAAGGCGAAGGCAAGATATCTGTCTATCAGTTAAGGGACGAGTATACTACGTAGCAGTTTGTTCTGTTCCACTTTAAGGCTACGAAACGTGGCCATTAAGAATTTAAGACATTCGTAAGCTACTAGTATTTGACCACAGATGTCTTAGAAATATTGCTCGCATCTACTGGGATCACCGGGTACGTAATAGTGAGGTTGGACTCAGAGTATTAGGGAATGATGGTAAGTCAGTTGATGAGGTTGGTTTACGTGTTACGTATGCCTGAACACTGATTCAGTCAGTTAGTCAGCTAAAACGTAGGACCAGGCACATATACGCATCGGTCCAAGTTGCCATACCTCATTAACACAACAAGATGGACACCGGATTCAGAAAGAAGTAGTTAATTCAGAGGTGGTAATATATAAAAGGAAGACTGCGATAAGGATATAGTACAGGAAGAAAGAATTAGTTCGTAGAAAGAAAGATATGAAGCGACTTTAATCTCATAGTTTAAGGGAAGATAGACAGTGTATACACCTATGCCATTGTGATCGATTCTGAGCCATGTCACCCAGAGTCTTCAACCATTGGTTACGATAGTCGTGTAGACCCCAACCGAGTAGTCTGCATCTACCAACATGGCTCAGACTAGAAGTTAGTGACTTCAAGTACTGATGCCACGTTTTGGTTGGGCCGCACCTAACTTTCTTCCAACCATGCCCAACACTAGTCAGCATTGTGCGTCGTGGTAATCAGTGTTCTGGAGGCACCTGAAAAGGAAATTGGATTAGAGATGGTCTTAGTGACCTGAGAGCGTGACCGCAGTGCCCAAGGGACAACTGCTTGAGGTCGGTCACACACGACCTTTTTATGGGTAATTCTTGTGTCAGCTCCGTACTTTTTGGGATATCCGTGGGATAAGACGAGGTGTGCGTTTTTAGGGTCGACCTTTTCTAACCCCACCCCTCCTTGTGGGAAGGCAGCATCGCTGTCATGCTGGTTGTCTGAAGGAAACACCTTACGGATGTCACACCTCTGTACAGTCAGCAGTACGACTTCGCCTTCGGACCTTGGGTTTGTTGCTTTTAGTCTTACCGCTCTTCAGCCGACCTGTCTGACCTGGTAGGACCTTGAGGAACAGCTGTTCCAGCCAGTATAGCTCGGTTGCTTCATCACGATAGGCATGTCCGATCACCACGTCAAGGTAGCAACAACGGTCGGAGTACTTTGTTGGGGTCCGCGTGACTGTCGTAACCAATGGTTGGAGACACTTGGTGACATGGCTCAGAATCGATCACAATGGCGTCGGTGTATACACTGTCTATCTTCCCTTAAACTATGAAATTAAAGTCGCTTCATATCTTTCTTTCTACGAACTAATTCTTTCTTCCTGTACTATATCCTTATCGCAGTCTTCCTTTTATATATTACCACCTCTGAATTAACTACTTCTTTCTGAATCCGGTGTCCATCTTGTTGTGTTAATGAGGTATGGCAACTTGGACCGATGCGTATATGTGCCTGGTCCTACGTTTTAGCTGACTGACTGACTGTTGACAATCAAAATACCATGAGTTTCATACGATATTTGTCTTTAATTGCTTTTGTATAACTCATTTATTGTTTTAAAGGATAATAAAGAAGGGTTGTTTATTGGTATAGAGAAATAAAGTCTATTCTCTCTTTTATTTTAGTTCAATTATCTTTTATAATTTCTTAAAGAAAGATCATTTATTTATTTATTCGATTTTAACATTTTCCTTTTTCTCTTAATTAAAAAAAATTGAAAATCAAACAGAACAGAATTTGTAAAATTACAACAGATCACTGTATTATGCTCAAAGTAAGTACTGTATGAAAGTGTGGTTATTTTTTTATTTAATTATAATTCTTGTTATCAGTAGTATAATAAATTATGCTTTATACATTGTTTAGCTATTATAAAGGAGATTAATATTTTCATGTTTGCATAATAATTGTTTTTATTCTTAGTTATTTTATTTTAATCTATGGTTATATAGTTGTGTATCTGTGTATCTGTTGTTCATTCCGACAACTACTAGCAGCTTGTTCGAAAGCAGCCTAAATAGTATTGTGGAGTATGGTTAGCTACTGTTTTGATATGTATATGTAGTCCTTATTGTAAGCTGCATCCTTCGACTACTATAGCTTTACTGTTGATAAATTATGATCAGCCATAAATTTTTACTCAGCTTTGCATATGAAATGTCATAGTTATGTATCTATTACGACCTACTAGTTGCAGTATATTGTTGTCCAGTACTATACCTGTTTAATCATTGAAATCATTTGACTAAATATTTAAAGGATCTATGATCACTAGGCTGTACTTATATTCTTATAAGAGGTTAGGAAACTTGTGAGTTTGCATGACCTATAGATCATGTTGAGAATACAACAAAGTTAGTGGGCTTATCGTTAATGATTGGTTGAAGGCACAACACTGATATCTTGATGTAGCGGTCACTCTTGCCTCTCATAACAAGCTAATTAAGTTATCTTGGTTGGGGCTCCGATTCCCTGAGGTCCCACTATATCAAACAGGTTGTTAAGGTATAACAATTTAAATGGTTTCATATTCATGTCAGGTCTTACACATTGACTGTGACTGACTGACTGCCTATTGTTCGTGTTATAGTTATTCCAATAACCATGTTTTTTCTGTTCAACAGGTTCTTTCCGAAAAGTTCAATTGAAGAAATTTGGTTAGAATTTCGTCATCATATTTGTAGTGATATATTGACTGGAGCGCCGATAAGATATTTGGGTCATTTTTTAATTTATACACCATTTTATCCAAAATATTTTGATGAGATTAGGTAAGCATTTAGTACATAGAGTTTATTACTACACTTTTGCTCATATCTTGCATAAAGTATTGGTATTGAGATAATGGTTTTCAAGGTTCTATGTAATTTGTTCATTCATCTATCAACTGTTCAGTTTTGGTGTATATTAATGCCTTTATATAAATTATAAACACCAATTAGAAAGGAGCGCCATTTCATTGAATATATGCTAGGTGGAGTTACTAACCACATCTACCTTTTTTAGTAGTACATGTGTATGTGTGCTAGTAAGTATTTCCTACTGATCTTAATGGTGTTTTGCTTCCGTTAGTCAATAATTCTATGTTAGTTATAGATAATGACTGTTCATATAGAAAGAGACCAACTTTAGGGAAAACAAGTCACTTTAATTTTACTCATCCAGTCAATTTTACTGCTGCTCATTTCTTCATATCTCGGGATTCGATTTAGTTCGTTACTGACGTATATTACTCCAAACAGCGAATTCGTAGTTCTTTAACTTTGATTAGATTGTTATTTTCTCGTAACGGTGATAACTGTTTAGTCAATAGAAATAATGTTTTATGTAAGATATGGGTAGTTAAAGAACAAGGTTAAATCATTACTGGGTTTTATTTGTTTCTTCTGATATCATATTTACCACTTGACATCCTTATTGGTTCTTCAATATAAAGCTAGCTTTTGAAACCGTTTAAAAGTCGATGTGTCGACTATCGTTTGTTATGTTAAAAAATCATATATATTGATGAAGGTGTTATACGTTGGTAATATTAATCTTCAATGTTTCAAATTTGTGCGACTACTGAAGCTAGAGATCCTGAAGTTTATTATGACTTCTATGAAGAAGAATAGTTGAAATATTTAGGAATTCATTTTAAATAATCGATCCACTGGTTTTTAAGAATATTTAACTTTGTAAAATTGTGTCAAATAATGACTAAAACATGCTTCATATTCCATCTGCACTTGGAGTTTTTTTCATAAGGTTTTGAACATAGTAAGCTGTTGATCATGATGATATTTTTCTAGGCATCTTCTGGATTATTTAGTAGTTAGCTCCGATAGTCATTCTATTTCTATCTTCACTATGGTGGAGATTTGTAGCTTAGGTGGGTATTTTCGGTGTTCTTACCTTCTTTAAGCTGGATGGTTTAATTAAAATGACTTTATGGTTGTTATAGATAGTACCATCGGTATCTATTTAAAGTGGGAGTGAGCCCGTTTATACTTTTGTTGAAGAGTTGCAAACTCTGTAGCTTTAACTCATATACACGTCTATTTAGTCGGCTTTGAGCCAACTTGTTTATGTGAGGATTTGTGATATTACCTGGCTGCCCAAACTAAAGTAAGCGGGGGCATTTTGAACTTGCGACCTACTGATTGAAAATCAAGTGTTTTAACCACTGAATCATCCCTTCGCTCAAACAAGTTGAATCAGACAAAATCATCTTATGATATTTATATGGCTCAAACCTTATTCAACCAATATGTCATAAGATGAGTTTGCAAGTTTCTCACTATTTTCATATTTCGTACTTTAGAGTTTTCGTTTTTGATTAGTTTGAAAAAGAGGTTCTCTGATTAGTGGTGAGTCAAAAAGCTGATCGGTAAAACTACCATGAATACTGAAATTCATCAATAGCTTTCAATTTCGTTGTTTACTAAATAGCCATAAAACACTTATTTATTGAAGCAGTGTTACATGTTTCGGATTGTCTCAAATTGTAATGTATCTTGCGGAAGTTGTTTATCATTCTTTTATATGTGCATACACCCTAAATCTTTTCTGGGTTATAATACTACATAAGGTGCAAGAGTGTGGGTGGTAAGTGGGATAAACATAATATCAGTTCGTCCTCCATGCTATACAACTTGAAATTATAAAGAAGACTACTTGAGACTTTATCCAGCTGTGGATTTTTCTCGTAGAAAATACTGTCTATATTCACTCTAAGTTTAACCATTATTTTTAGTGTGAAGTACCCAACTATGATGATGATATAACTTTCATTGTTATTTTTCAATTTGCCTCCTATTAATTATTTTTGTTTTCTCATAACTCTTCCATTATTTGTAGTCGTGTTTGGTTAACAGATATATTTGATTTGTGGTATATGCACCCTGAATTAGGAAATTTTCGTGTAAGTTAATTAAACAGTTGAATACAAATATTCTTTAAGATTCTATATTACCAATGTATATATATTAGTACAGTTTAAATACTAATCTATATAAAGCTTTTATATGCGGTGCAAAATTTAGGATCTACTTGACGAACATTACATTTGTCATTGTAGTTCAGTCATCTAAATAATCGAACTTTTGGTGTTCGGTTGAGGATTTGTTTTTTATTTAACCTATTAGACTTTAAATAGCCACATGGTATCATTGTTCACCATTCGTTAGGCGGGTCACAAAATTGTGAGATCTCCAGGTATTTTCATTTTGGATCGTCAGAGCGTGCCAACATATTTTATGCTATTATAACCATGCTTTCGTTCCGTTATGCCTTGTCAGAAATTGACTACATCCTCTATTTTTGTCCAATCTTTATATCGACAAATGATAGTGGATATGGAAGTTGCGGAAAAGTATGATAAAAGTATTTACATGTCACTGAAATTACTGTTGTACCATGGCACATTTGATTGAATCATAATGTAAAGTAGAAATTTTAATACCTCACGTTGTATCCCCGTCCTTTATGGACAAATTAGTATCATATCGGTGCGAAAGTGGCGTAGATTGATTGAGTTGGTGCACAACTAGTGAATGTATTAAAGGTCTTGCTTAACAAACTTATGTACAGATAGTTGATTGGTTCATTTAAAATATTCAGAAAAATTATTACTATCATTAACATCATTTGTTTTAACTGTAATATTTTAAGTATATCTTCACCATTTTATAAAATAAAGGAAATTATCCGAATATTATGTTATGTTTCTCGTATTGGTCGTGGACGAATCGATTGGGAACCACATATGGAACGTATATTTACTGGTCTTTCAAGAGCTATCACTTTAAATAAAAAGCCAGTACATGGTGAATTACTAAAAATAGAAGATATAGAATTTTACGCTGAACTAATCATGAATACCATTGGTCCTGATCGTTCAGATTGTCAATCATCAGTATTATATCGACTGGAGCAATTATTAAAAGTTTGTATGCATATCAGTTATTTTCTCATTTAAAAAAAATCAGTTTATTGCATAATCTTTTGTTTTGCGTTTCTAATCAAAAAATAGTCATGTGTATAGGATTTATTGGTATTATCCCATATAAATGTATATATTCAATATACATTCAATATAATATAAAGATAATTTAACAAAATTAAAAAAAAGAATTAAGATTTATTCATTGCTATTGATTTTGAATGGAACACCAATATTTTCACTATTCTATGTAACGTCTTATTGTTTGTCCAAAAACTATACGGAAATGGTTGAATTTTAAAAGTTGACATGTATAACAGCGAAATAAACTGTCAAATAGTATTATGTAGACCACATTGCAGTATGATTCGAAGCTTCTAGCTCATTGGCCAGCAGTCTGAAATATCCGTTTTGATTGTAAGATACGAACGTCTTGAGTTCGGTTGTTTATGAGATTGTAGATGCATACTGTGTTCAGTGGTCTCAAATTTTGACAAATTAACTCTATTGAACGGTTTCATGTTTTTCAGTGTTAATCCAAGTAGTGTAAGTCTGCGATCAAAACCCATTTAAGATCTAATCAGAAGGTCAAAAGTTCATTATACTATGTGATTATTTTCATTTTATGTTTCGATGAATGGTTTTTCGTCACTTGTTTAACCACATATATTGACCTTACCTTTGATTAACTAGTGTATAGTTGTATTTAGTCCTTTTCGTCTCTAAAAAATAGTTTTCATCCAAGTTGATACTCAGTGATTTCTTGTAAATTCTTAATGTTTACTAACAACGATGCTTGACTTACTCAAAACCGATTACACCAGCCCGTAATAGATGAATCGCATTAAATGATGATTATCAGTACGGTGATTTCGTGAATTCGAAAATGATATTCATTTTGAATAATAATAATAATAATAATAATAATAATAATAATAATAATAATAATAATAATAATAATAATAATAATGTTTATGCTATTTTGTTACAACTTACTTCCTCATATCGTTTAAATACTTTTATTTCATATATATATATATATATATGTATAGTCTGTTGAATCATTCTATCATCCGTCATCGAGTCAAATTGAGGCAGGGAAATTGTTAAGCTGTTTTATATTGAAATTTCTACGTTGTTTAATTAGTCGTTTACGTGATGAATTATTTCCGCCAGTTGAAGCATTGGATTTGGGCTACACACCGCCTGAGGTAAGTTATATTCTAATTTTTAATCAAAGAGGATTCATTGTTGTTTTCACTCCCGGAAGTATGTATTGGAAAACTTTATTGGCAATATCTTTCTTTTTTAAAATCTCGGATCGTTGAATTTATTCTAGTGGCTTTCTATTATTATAGCTATAGTTTTCATTACCGCATTATTATTTTTAACAAAGTTTTAGCCACTTTTACACCTGGTAATTTACGAATTGAATAACTTTGTAAACAGTAAACGAGAAAATGATGTTGGTGTTTTAGTTACATCTACATTTTGTAGACCTATAACATCAGAAGTACTAAGATCGTACTGTTATTCATATTCTTAAGCAGTTAGTTTTGATTTATTTACAAATCTAAGTTATGCTTCAATTGCGCTCTCAATTTCTACCATTTAAGATGTTGCTTACGAAGTGGTCGAAATGATGTTATGTTATGGTAAATTTCACACTTAATGGGGTGAAGATCTATCTTCTGCTTTAAAAAGTTACACAAACATAACACAACAACTCTGAACTTAATGAGGTGTGAAGCGAGAACGATTTAAACATTGTGTATGACCACGTGCAGTGAGTGAAGGCTGACTTTTTCGAGAAACATCTCACCGTCAACAATAAAACCAACAACATTACACAAAACAACTATCTGTGTAGTTGATAAAAGTCGTTGAGCAAGAAACAGCGAAAAAATCTGTTAATCTGTCAAGTGAAGAAGAGCAGAGGGTAATTTTACGGGATGGGGTTTCTAGAGCTATGGTGAAGTTTTTTCGCGAGAGAGCAAACATTCAACTTTTATCATCAGAGAAAGTGTTTTTGGGTGTTTTCGACACTGGAACAATAAGCTCCATCAGTTTCCGACTTGATGCATTTCTTTTCCAATTGGAACATTTTATTTTAGTTTAAATTTTCCATTTAGCGTTAAAATATTTTTAAGACCATTCATCGACTTATCAGTCAAAGTTAAGGGCGTTTTTAAGATCAGTTTAATTTGATGACAGTTTCTTCATTTGTCACATCTGCATTCAAGGTGGGTACCTAAAGTTTCAGTGAAAGGTTGTAATTAATTGATTTTAGCCTTATTGTGTTTACCCCAGTCACTCATCCATACCATCCGAGATCTGAGGGTTGTGCATTCAACCCCTAGAGAAGTCGTGGGTGTACACTTCCGTGAGTTCCAAATTAGGAAAAAATAGCTGTTTAATTTACACTGTGTTAATCAATCAGTCAATCAGATATCGGTCAAATAATATGCTCACACTATTAACCATGGTTTGACTTTACTAAGTAGTGTGACCACGTCGCTGGTTGCACGTATGGCTTAAAATTCTAGGGGTAGAAATATATGTGAACAAGTGTACAGTTATCTCTCGATTCGGTTTAGCCAGTAAAATTTTCTTCTCACCCAAGTGATCGGTTGAACTTGGGTATAATTAGCTGGCGTATCAGCATCAGAATCGGACATCGCACACGTAACATCAATTCTGAGATATCAGTCCGTGAGGAAGAAAATTTCAATCATTACTTTCATCTCATATTTTTATTACTATATTTGAAAAGAGTCAAAGCAGTGTCATTTATGTTTTCTTATTGATGCTTATTTCGTCATTATCTTTTTTATGTTAAGCGGATATATCAGCTATTACCGTTTTAGAAGCATATATTAACACTGACACAACATATAATATGGCTTTTTAGTTGAAACTTACTCCAAACAAAGTCTCAAATCTGGTTATGTTTAGCACGTGATTGGGAGTCAAACACTCCATCACTTAATGTTTGCTTTGCAGATTCGAACTCACAGCATCAGATTATTTAGTTTAACCAGCTGAATAGTAATCGTTGGCTACATATGGAATAAAAAACAATGGGTCTTAACTTGGTCACACGTATTTGGGTTTCGTCACTGTATTTCATCTTGCTAGTTCACAGTTTCTTGTCATTATGACGTATGTGTATATTTTTATCTTGTTTTCTCTTTTCAGTTTTATCTGTCTGTGGAACAAGTTGATCAAATTGTTGATTTATTTACACCGATTTGTTTAGATTACTTTTTATATTCAAAATCTGATGCTGTAGTGAATACCACAGTGAAAATTATTCCACTGTTATGTAAACTACGTCCTTGTCGTGTTATGCCATGTTTACTTAATAATCTTGAATCTGGTTTAACTAAACTGGAAATGCCGTTACGTTTCACTCGACCATTGCATGCTTTAACCTATTCAATACAATCATTAATTTACGTTAGATTTCCGTTGTATCCACGTGGACCATCATCGTCGTCCAGTGTGTATTCTGTCAACGAAGATCCTGATAAACTAGAGGACGGTATTGATGATGAATATTATGATAATGATGACATTGATGCAGAAGTTGGTGATAAGGAAATGAAAGAAGGAAATGAAGATGAAATAGTTGATGATGATGACGAAGGTGAAGAAGGCGACTCATTAACATCATCTTCATCCTCGTCATCATCAGATGTAGATAATGATAAATGTAACGATACACTTAAATACCATAGACCAAACAATCATAGTTCTAATAGACTTGTGAATGATACTACTGAAAGGCTTACAATGAAAAAGCGAATTTTTCAAAAGGTAGTTAATTGATTTAGATGTTTACCTTATTTGATAATTGTTTCACTAAAATGTTCACTTCCCCTTAAAAACCACAATTGTTATGACGTTTGTAGAAGTCTGGAGGTGTTATCAGTGGCATATTCGTGTGTATTTATTTACCTTTTTTATTGTTATCAGAGAACATAATGTTGTATTTCTCCGTCATCATAGTTTATTAATAACGCATGTGCAATCTCTCCTCATCTTTGTTGCTATTTGTCTGGTCTTACCGGTCTCCCAAAGATTCCATGTACGTATAAAAATTGTTGCTCTGGTTGTTAGAAAGAGCATCGGCCTCATGAATTCCGAAGAATCTCGGCTTTCATCATGATACGTCATAATTCTTCCTTCGATTAGGAGGGCAGAGTTTAAATATTTAATTTGTTTAATCTCGTTGGTGTTTTTTAGCAAGACTTTTTCTACGGGATAGGGTTGCTAACCCCATGCCTAACCCTCCTCCTTTACCCGTGCTTGGGACCGGCAATAACTCTAGAAGAGTTACAGGCAGAATTATAGGACTCATAGCTTTTTTTTAAATAAAAAATATTTTGTGTATGCAAACTAAGTTAAATGCAAATGTGACCAGCCTTTAGACCACTGATACCTTTTCTTGTTAAATATCCATTATTTTTAATTTCGCAGACAATTTACGAAGGTTAGTTTTATAATTATGGCATTTAGTGTAGCTGAAAGTATTCGAACAAGAAAATAATTTATTGACTTTCGATCATTAAGTTCGTGGTTCGAACCCAATCTACCTACTTTAGTTTAGGGTGACTGGGTGGTGGCATTAACCCTTACACTAAAAACGTGTTTCATACCCAAGTACTTGGTGAATGTGTTTATTTTAATAAATTGATGTTTTACTCTAGATTTAGTTTTTTTTTAGGTTTTAAACCCTAATAACACCGGTTATTGATTACTATTTAACTAATTTCTTTTTGTCTCATGTTTACGGACAAGTGAGTTCTGTCGGTCAGGTCTGGAACTTGAAGTGTTCTAGACCGATATGAAACTCCTACTTCAATAGTTTGACAGCGCGATCATAGATGCTACCTAATTGATTACAGGTACATGCTTTGCTAGAAAGCTCTCAAGTTTCCTACTCATCACTGTTGACTGCCAGCTCTCTTAGACAACAATACTAGGCGTATATGAGAGTACTATTTTCCAAACACAATTGCGATTTCATATTGTTATCACTTTATTTAACTGTGTATGTTCTTTTTACTACTTTAGTCCTCATACAAACCGGCTTACACTCATGTTTCACCGTCTGTTCGTCAAAGTCATTTAAAAGCCTTCACTTATTTATCTGGTCGGGCCGAACTGAATCGTGTTCTACAACTTCTTTCACACGGTTTGGATATGAATTACACAGATCGATTTAATTATTCTGTATCATGTTTAAGTCGGATATGTAAGTACTTTTGTAAAAAGTGTGTAACCATTGTGCACTAATTTTTTGAAGACAAACATTCATTTATCTATGATGGTCGGTGAGACATTTTGTCCATTGTTTAAAGTAAAACTCGTTTATCTGCTTCTGTATACTTAACCTGTTCCTTGGCCTTTTTTACTTTCGTCTGGTTGTTGTCGATTGTTGTCTTCTTGTTTATTTTTTCTTCAATCTTAACCAAATTATATACAGAGATCCACTCATTACTGTAGTGCTTGTTGGGTCCATAACCTCGTGACATTTTGAAGTTATTGTTCCCTTCATCTCTCTCTCTCTCTGATTGCTCTCCACAGAGTTTTCCATTTCTTCTAGTAGATGTTGTAGGTGTCGGAACCTGTTTTTGTGAACTGTTTTAGCTGTACTTATCTTGTGTTCATCTCGAAGGAAGGCTGTATCAAACGTCTGTATTGTTGTCTGTTCAGTTATCTTGTTCCTCTTCTTCAGTTTCTGTTTTACTGCGATTGGGTTGTGGTGTGAATCCATATAAGCTCTTCTCTATTTGCCAACGTCTTCCATTAACTTTCTGTATATGTTGTTTATGCAGATGTGATCAATCTGGTTTTCCGTAGTGTAATCAGATGAAATCCATGTAGCTTTGTGTAGCGTTTTTGGGAAAATACTGTGTCGCCTATCACTATGTTGTTGGAAGTACGTAGATTTGCCTATCTTTCACCATTCTCTTGTTTCTCCCAGTTGTCGCTTGATGCGTTGTGATACCTAGCGATGTTCGTACTTACCTTGTTGTTCAGATTTTATCCATTTATTCGGAAACTAAATAATCCATGAATCAAGTAGAGAAGAACACATTATACTTCAAAACACTACAGGTTCTTAAAGCAATATAACCTAGTTAATAGTTTTTCTTCTTTGACTAAAGTAATATAATACATTCAATTAGATTGCTTAAAAATCCGTAAAATCAGTTTAGTTAAAAAAGTCTTAAGGTTTAGTTTTTCAATTAATTAAAAAGCTTTAATAATTTAGCAAATATTGTTAGTCAGTCAGTCATGAAAATAGTGAAATAAATATTTATGATCAGAACGGGTTTTTTGGAAATTGTAGTAATTTCAATAGTTGAGATCATGAATCGATTGAAGCTAGACCACCATGGAAAACCTGAAAGCACTGGACGGCCGTTCCGTTCTTTTGTGTAACTCCTCAGCAATGCGCATCCACGACTCATGATCTCGACTATTGAAATATTTATGAGGTCATCTAAAGACGAGAGAATTAACTAGACGAAATCTTAATAGGTTAATTTAATAATATCAATGGTAGTAAGTACGTAAATGAGACCTTTAGAAATAGAGAATATTCTCAGGTTACTAGTTTTTAATAATAAATACTTTCCAATAGTCATAGGCGTTTGTTGAAACCATCATGTGGGTATTACTAATGTTGGATGTATAACACTAGGTAAAAACGGCGAGTCCATTATTGATTTGATAAATTTTCATCGAATGAGGTTGTTGGGACATGTGTTGCGTATGTCCAATCTCCGCCTACGTCTGTACGTTGTGATGACTAATGTAGATGTAAGTTTAAAAAAGCTAGGGCTGGCTAATATTTTCTTCTACTTGATCATGTTACTTTACTGATGTGTAGTGTGATAGGTTGGACTAGTGGGCATGTGTGCCTGGTTCTATGTTGCGTACGACTGACTAATTGACAGGAACAGACCATATGGCTCGAAAATAAAAATTCCAATTTTCGGAGGATGAAAATTATAAAATAATGACAAAACTCAAAATGCAAAGGATTATGAAAAGTTAGTTCAAGGATGCTGCTTAGACCGTTTTTAAGCTATACCAGTTATAGAAGCTAACCAAGGGTTACTATTGTTTTGGGAAATCTAACTTCTGATACTACCTAGGTTGATGAAGTTTCACAACATTTTGAACTAGCTTAACATTTGCACCTACTTTAAATATCTCATAATCCAGGGAACCCTGTAAATTGTTCCGTATAATGAAGTAACTGATGTAATTTAACAATAAAGTACGGTGTTCAGTTTCTCATCTTTGAGTAAATCATGTGTGAGTTTTGTACTTCGTGTGACGACTGCATCATAATAAAAGCCAGTTCTGTATAAATTAAAAAAAAAAACAGTAATTTTCAAAAGAAATCAATTTTAATAGTTGAATTCATGAGTCAATTGAAGCTAGATCACCATGGAAAACGTGGAAGCACTGGACAGCAGTGGAGTTCAACCAGGTCCATTGTAAGATAGTAACTCACAAACGACAATGGTGTATGTGTCGCTCGATTTCGTGGATTGGTTGAAGTTAGACATTAACACCGTTGGATGCCGGTCATCTCAGTGGTCTAGTGGTTAAGCGTTCGTGCACGAGACTGACAGGTCCTGGGTTCGAGTGTCTCGAGTCGGGATCGTTGGTACACACTGCTGAGGAGTCTCACAATAGGACGAAACGGCCATCCAGGTTTACCATGGTGACTCATGATTTCAACTACTAAATTACTATAATATCCACAATAACCCCGTTCTTTGATTAAAATCAATTTTAACTAATCAACACATATCTTTACATATTTTTGTCATTATTGTTTTTTTAATTATGTAAAGAATATCAATAAAAGTTTGCTTGTAATCTTTTAATTATAAATAAAATCTTTACTAATCTATTGGAATTTAACACGATTAAAACAACATTTTAATTGTAACTCTATTTTTATTAACTGATTTGTTGGTTTAATGATTATAACATTTTAAGAATGATGGATTCTGACTTCCATACTCTACCTATTTCAATCTATCTGTTCAACGTAATATAATCATCAGTAAAGTTCATGGTCAAGTACAATAATCTCAACTTGTATCTTATTAAGCGATTCATCTAAGAAGAATTTCTTTTCAACAATATCATTTGTGAAAACTGTATAATGATTTTACATATGTCGATTGCCTTTAAACTAATGTAGATATAAATCATGTAGGCTTAGTGATGTGTGAGCGAGAATGATAATAATTGGTTGTCTGCTTAGTCGGACATGTAGATAGTCTGACAGGTGTCAGATGAGTTATATATTCCCCTATGCTTATAATTATTATCGATTGTTCATTGTTGTTGGATTGTGTCGGGTTTTGGTGTAGAGATTTAGTTACGTTCTAGTCAGGTCAATCACGTGTTCTTGACCTGAGTTGTGTTGAAGTCCTGTAGCATAGACACTGGGAAGGAATCTAGTGTAGATATTCGTCTAAGGCAAATTAACGTCCCATACGTGTAAACGTGTAAACTCACCCATTATAACACTAGACGAAGTCAAACCCGAGCGTTATAACACTTAAATTATAGTTAAATGTCATTAGTAAGTGTGTAGTTTGTTTTTCTATTTAACTATATTAGTTTTTTTGTTTACCCGTAGTATTAATTAAGTAATGTAACATACATTCATATATTGAATAGTGTGTCATGTTTTCTTTCTTATGTAAATTATTGATACTAAAAAAAATGATGTTTTTGATGACGTTACATTTTCTTAGATGAAGTAGCTCAATGGATAAGCTTTAATTATTGTTTTTTTGGATCGATCACTCAGTGGTTAAGCCAATCAAATTTTACCCACCAAGTCACCCAATTTCAGGGACTTCGGTTTAAATGACCGGGCAGTATTACCTATTATGTGAATTGAAACTAAGTACATAAGTGAGCTACTCAAACTCTGAAGTAGATGGAGTGGGATTTGAACGTGCGATTTCATTCACCTTAATGTGTAACCTCACTGTCACCATGTATAACAGGTTTATTATCAGTATTTTTATCATCCTGTAAAAATAAGTATATATATTTGCGATTGTACAGCTTTGAAAATGAATTCGCCGAAAAGAGACAACTCTTTTCTGAACTAACCTTTTTTATTTAATGTCTTAATGGGTGCATCCCGTTTAATAATATGTTTTCATCATGGGTTAAACCCTTAACAAAAAAGTCTCTGACTTATAACTATTTAATAAGAAACAACATCAAATCAGTTCACATTTCACAGACAGTACAAAAATGTTTTAAATCGATAAGTGTGAAAAAGTAAACAAAATTATGAGTATGCACAAATCTGTATCAATAGAATTGTTAAACAAACGCAGTTTACATTGGCTTTTGATATTTTTCTTATTGTCTTTTTTTGTTTATTAGTCCTTTCAACGCCTATATGGGATTTCTCAACTATGCAATTTACTAATAACAACAATATCAATCCAAATCATATAACCACTGAAAGGATAATCTCGGAATCAAATGACGTAGAAGATACTGTCTTCATGATATATGAACGTATTTTGAGTTATTTATCCATATTAAATGATGATAGTACAAATTCTGTAAATTTACAAAGTATTTCACATTTATCGAATAAAATGTATCGACCACAAACTGGACCTCCTAATGGTCATCCACGTTCATATATAGATACATGTCAAATGAGTAGATTAATTGGTCTGTGTGTTGCATTGGGTTTATCTACATCATCTAATTCACAATTACGTTGTCGATTAATTAGATTGCTAGTAGATAGAATATTTTCTTGTCAATGGTCACCAGATACATCACGATTAATTGGTTATCAAGCATATTGGCTAACGATTGATTCATCTTATAATGACAATAATAACAACATAAATCCATCAATTTATGCTTTGAAGTTAATATGGTCTAAATTTATGGCCATTGTAAATGAAATTGAAAATGGTATGTTTAACACTTTACTATATTCAATTATATACATTTAGGTATTTTTAAGTAGATTACCTATTCAAATTTAACACTAAAAAGCTTTTTTTCACTAACCCATAACAAGTTTATTGACCAGTAGTAATTGATCGAATCTTCTGGAAATTTTTTGTTTACCCAACCAGTCGATTGACATGGCGTTGGTTTGCACTTTGGTGGTTAAAGGTTATGATTTCGATAGGATTATTTTTCATATAACTTAATGACGAAATACTAGTTTGTATACCTGGCTTGAAGTCATATGTGGCTAATAGCAGTCATTAGCTGTGTTAACAGGAGTATTATAGAATCAAGAGGTTATCAATTATGAGGAAGTGATCTTCAGTAATTATTAACAAGCTATATTTCAAACTGATAGAAACACATCTGTTATGTCAATTCTGTAAGTCTTATTCTCCAGTATGGAAGTCTTGGTACTCATGCCCATATTCATATCCATCTGGATGAATTCACACTTACCTACTATGTTACACTGATATTAGACAATTAATTTATTTCTATTTTTTAAAACTTGCTTAATATTGGTAAATTATTATTACATAAAAACAGCTTACTGTATCTCATAACTGCATAATATTTATAACATAAAAGTTGATATATTTATGTACACGTTTACATACGGCTCATACACAGCGTCATACATGGTCCAGTTTATGACTTTTAAGTCTCACAATGAGCGTGTCTTGTACTGTTTCGCTAATGAGTCGGAATACAATACTTCATTGCCAACTCACAATTCAGCACAACCATCGTTTAACATCGTCCTTATCTGAATTATCTACTCGTAACCTGGTTGTTGACTTCAAACATCTCGGAGCTTCCCACTAAAAATTTCAACAGAAGTCGATCTGTTTCATTCCGGACATCAATGAGTACTGGACTCCAAGTTAATTGCTTTATGTTAATAGTTAAATTTTAACCGCTTACAATTTATTTGTTTTTCATGAAACTAAATTTCTCAAATTTGAGATCACCATTATTGAATTTCTTACTATCATCACTTTTTGTTAATCATAACAAAACAAACTATACATAATGTATTTCATTTTCCTTTATTGTTTATATTATGCTAACACTACTTTCGTGTTTTACTGTGTATACACTTAAAGCATTTCATGTTGTTTAATCTCCGGTTGTTTTTTATTGAATGCAAACTAATAAATTAAGTGTAATGCAGAATAGTTCCTTGAATTACGATAATAACGACAACAAAACATCAGATTCTAGGACACATGTGTATCATCAGCTGATTAAGAGTTAAAAACTAAAACATTCAAATTGTATTTTTAATATTTATTAAGTGCTGTTTATTCGTGTAAATTTATTACTGTGAAAAGTAAGTTAAGTAATTAGCATACATCGGTTAAGTGTGTTTCCAATTATTCTGATATAATAAATGGCTATTTCTTTGGTATACTATCATAATGCGTTAATACGATAATGAGATTAGTCGCGTTATATCAGATTCAGGGTTCATGACCCAGAATAGGGAACCAGATTAACACTAGATATTACTTTATTCGACACAATTACACGAAGTCGCACTCACTGAGTTTGGAGTAGAAATTAGTGAGAGGAGAACTAACTCTCTGCCGTACCAGAGTATTTGGCGTCTGCATAAACTATTGACTTTTATCTCCATCTTCAAGTGATAATCTGTCTATCTTTTTAAACAATATTCAAATATATAGTTACATACTCTGGGTTACTAACGTAACACGCTACAAACTGATTCAAGTATAAGTTTTGATGAATTGTCTAGATTTAAGCTGTTGCATTATATTTAACCACTAGTTACGTTAGTTTGTAGTACTACTTGAAGTACACGTAGGTCATAAAAATCTTCAATACAATGCCCAAAATTTGTACATTCGGTTTTCTTGCTGCCTTAAGTACACTCTTCCTAGGAATCTTAAACTGTAGAGCTCAACGTTTTTTACCCGTTCCCCTAGCTGAGATATTCGTGATTCAAGCGATCTTTAAACATCGAATTTAATCTTAAAAAAGAAATATAAGTTTAATCTCGATTACCAAAGAAATGTTTCTAACCAGTTGATTTTCACCAACGTATATTTACGTAAGCCATTCCGTTTTTGTATACTAACGTTTCTGATTTCGGGTTCTTTTCAAAAATTCCTTCACTTCTTATATTGGGATCGAACCAATTTACATTTCTCTTTATATATGATTCTATACACTTCATAACCTCGTAAATTTAATTGATGTTTTTCACTTGGTTTTTCCCTTTAGATGGATCTTACATTTATCACTATCGCGCAGAGCCTAGGCTTCTTTCTTTATTATATATTCTACCAGGGTTTATTTGTGCATTACCACCGGAAAGTTTAATTGATCCAACTATCTATAAAGAATTTATTGGACCATTAATTATCCTACTTGGTAAATTATGTTATTTATCAACAGGATGTCTTGTCAAACCAGATTGGAGTCATTTTACATCTCTGAATAATATGAATCTAGAATATAACAAACTTGTAAATGCATGTCCTGCCTTGTCTGAAGCATCAGCAAGTTTTCTTGCTATGCTACTGCATCGTTTAACAAGTTACAGTATTGATTTTCGTCGTTTCAATTTACTAGACAATATTGTCGGTGTAGATGAACAACAACAACAACTAAATAAAGTTGATGCGTATATTTCATCTCCATGGTGGAGCCCGTTTGTCAATTTGAAATCCATTGTTAATTATTGTTACAATCATAAGAATCAGAAACAGCACAGTTTTTGGTTTAAACCGACAAAAATGACAACTTCTTTAGCTCGACAATTAGTTAAATCATTTCTAAATCCCGTCATGAAAGAATTAGAGAAAATTCATGAGAATTTAACCTCTTTATTACATACTACCACTACTAATGATCATAATACTGTTAACGAAATAAACTACATTGAACAACGGAACCGGTTCACATCATTAACAATCTGGATGAATCACTTAATGAATGGTTTATCTGATGCTTTAGCACCTCGTACAAAAAACTTTAGTGTGAACGAAATACGTATTGGACAACATTTTATGCCTTGGCATGGTCTATCTAACCTCATTGATCCTCATGAAGTTTACAACGTAATTTCAATCGACGATTTGCAATCATCTTCTGTATCCGATTGGGATATCTCTTATTTTTATATGAGTAGTAAAAATGATACAGGTGAAGAGTTACGTGATGCAGCACTTAAAATCGGTTTAAAACTATTGGATGTGATTTCACAATTGATGAAAGAAACTGATGATAATTTGATATCGTGCCATGACAGAACTAGTGGTGATGAGATTGTCGATAATGTTTGTGATAATTTGACTGGTAGTTTTGGTGATATAGGTGTTTCAGAGAAATTAAATGACTGTAAGTATTTCGATTGTCTTCACTTTTTATGTTATACTGAATTTTCCTGATTTGTATAAACATAATTCATGCTAGTTAATTTTAGTGACGACTACGTGAAGACAAAAAAATAATGTCTTACCGAATATTAGAACTAACATTCCAATTCGTCACCTGTGGCCGAAAACGAGGATAGAATGAGAATAATTATTGAATCATCAGCTAGGTAGTGAACGTAGGTTCAAGGAATCAGATTCATTAACATAGTTTATGACATTCTAGGCTTTGTAATTTAAGCTATGAATTGCGTACCACTGGCAAACTAAGTAATTTTCAGGTTTAGTCTAACGCCTATGGACCAGGTCTTCCGTCAGTTAATGGGACATGAGCTCGTGTGCATGTGTATTTTTCGGAAAAATATTTGATTTTTGATCCTATCGATTAAAATGTTTTCTGATAGTGTTTCGCGATAAAAGTGCCAACGAGCATTCATTTTTCATTAATAAAGAATGTTTACTTGAATACCCGCGGTCATATCTAAGTTTGTGACGGGTTATCTTTTGAAGTGAATGCATCAAGTCTCGTTTATAAATAAGGTTTACCACACCAATTTTCCAATTCAACGTTATTATAAACTTTACAAACTTTTCCTTGCAAAGGTCTTTTCATCAAAATGAAGTGCATTGACGTTATCCTACTACCTTAAATAAAGTAAGAAAAGATAAGGTCCTATAAATATCTTAAGTGACTACGTTGAAATGTTTGTGATGTATTTATCATCTCCCAAATGCCAAACTGTTGCTTAATAACTGGGTTGTGTCACAGTCTATTTTAGGGCATAAATGCATTGACCATATTGGTTGATCACATTTGTCGATAGAAGATATGATCGCGATACTAATTTCAGAGATTCATTCATCCGTAGTGACCTAAAATCGAATTGATATAAAATTAACTCATTCTAAAATGTCAAAATTATTCGTTTCACTTTAGCTCTATTAGAACATACTTCTAGAAACTTAGAATGACATTTTAATGTACGTTAAATTTTACTATCTAAAATCACTTTGTAGATGTTATTAAGACGTTTTACTGTGTATTTATACTCATCGTTGTTTTCTAAGGTAATTCTGCTACTAAATCAATCTGGTTATTATTCAATAATGTTCAAGTCTACAATCTAATGGAATTCACCCACCAAGCTCTATTTAATTTACCTATGGAAGAGCATAGACCATATCTTTTACAAATTATACGTGGTCCACGAGGTCTATTATCTATTGATTTAGGCGCTCGTAATTGTTTACATTTACCAGATCAAGAACTTTCACGTCAAAATGATTCTGAGAAATTATGTATACCTAGTATAAATTCTTTAACAGGAACATTTTGTTCTACAGCATCATCATCTTCATTGTTAAATCAAAGTGAATTTGATGAAAATTTACAAATGTATTCTGGTTGTACCATTATCACTTATATCGCACGTATCCATCATCGTTTTTCCATATTAATGTTAAATCATTTACGAAAACACTTGATGCTTACAGTGAGAAATTCCACTGGTAAATTAATATCACGTTCTATCGCCTGTTCTACCATAATACAACCATCACTAGAAATTATGAAATTTACAGATATTTTAAGTGTTTTGGCAACATCTCCACGTCGATCAGATATTCGACAACTGGCTAATTTTTTCCTCAATGCACAATTAATTAAATTTGTTCCTTCGGTAATTAATTAAATATTTTTCTTAATAAATTTCAGTGCCCTTATATTTAAATATTAAGTTGTGTGTAACGTTATATTATTCTTTTGTAGAATTATTTGTGTTTTGGATATTGTTGAGTTCTCCATATTAGATGTTTTGATTGGGAATCTATCTGAGCTGCAAATCTTCTCCATCTTTTTCGTCATTAATATGATTTTGAGATACTAGTGAGATTCATTCATTCATTCCACAAAGAGGTTTGTTTTACTAATATAGTCATTTGAACTTAACATACATCATAACAAAAATGTTCGTCAGTCCACATCCCTATACCTATTTGGGGCTCACGGTTTAGATGCTGGTACATACTTGACACATTTACATCACCACTACTTATCACGAGTAATATCAGATATGGTCTCCAGCTATTGATCGTAACTATCACATCCACACCAATTACGTAGTCCACATCTACCAATACAGCCTAGACTATGTTTTGGTTTAGATGTTTCTAACTCCCTTACAGTTTAGTTCTCCATCAGCCAGTATTGTGCGCCTAGATAGGAGGTATTCGGTCACGTATATATTCAAGCCATCTTGGTCAATGAACATTTATCATCTTCACATCATACCCTTCGCTAACCTTAAAAACGCTCGCTCGGTTGTTTCACCATATACGGACAATGCTTCGAAGATATCTGTGGTTAAATACAAGTCACCGATAGATGTTATATACTTCCAGAGAGCACAAAGTAGAACCTGGCTGTTTAGCACACTCTACCTTTAATAAAACGATGAATATGTTTTGTAAACCATGGGGGATGTTTGTGCGTGTGTCAAATCATCATGCTTCAAACACATTATTTAAGGTATATCTCCCATTAAAACTGAAATGTTGGAGTTTTGTCACCTGAAATTTCGAACTAGGTACCACTATCGGTCGAACTCTAAATCTCTTACGATTATATAGTGACTTACATTTTGCAAATTTAGTCATTTCACAGTATTAGAGTACAATCATCATCCAAGATTATTTTATTAACATTAAGATTTCAACATTTCTGCTTGTTTTACTATTTTTTTTCGAATACTCGACTCTTTTTTTAATTTTGTAGATTGGTACAAGAGTAGTAGAATTATTGGTTAATCGCTTAAATAATATAGCCACAGATATAAAATTTCTGATGTCCTCGCCTGATTCATCATCGTCTTCTCTATCATTATGTTCCTCAACATCTTCACTTGCATCGTCTTCTGTCTTATCTTTATCTTCCATTGGTTCATTAGAAGGAAAACAAAAACTTATACATCATCGACGTATGTCTACAATTATCGCATTGAAACAGATATATGCACGTCACCATTGGAATCGAGAATATGATGAATTATTTCGATTAAATCCACTTTTATTTGTACAATTTTGTACTAGCCTTATAAAACAACTAATTAATTATCAAGAAGAAAAATCTATTTGGTTTAAAAATTTTGAAAAAAGCAGTAATCATAATGGTGATTTAGTGAACAAACCTTATCATCATCATCAGCAGCGGTATCAGCAACAACAACAACATCAATTAAAACAATTACAGACAAATCGTGATCATTTAGAACATTTAATAAAACAAATTCTACATTCATTTAAAGAATTGCCTATAGATTGTAATATATATCTTTCATTTCATTGTGAAAGTGGTCAAATTCCATCTACTAGTTGGTTGAACAAAGTTTATTCTGAAATTAGTAGTTGTTTAATTGCATTTCAATATCCATTTGATATAAAAAAATTGAATAATTCAAATAACATTATGAATATATTATTTCATAACCGTGGTACAGCTGCAGCATTGTTCAATCGTAATATTTCTGATTATATTATTCGTATACACTCAAATGATTATCAACAGTTAAATTCACTAGTGAATGGTTCAACAAATTCAGAAAGTACAACAACTGATAAAAATGCTAATAACCATAACGATGGTTCCAGTACAAGTTGGTCATTAACTGTAACATTGTTAGAGATATTACGTTATCCTGTCAGTCCACCATTTGTACCTGTATGGAGATTAGATAACTGTTCTATACACCCACCTATTTTGAGTCCTCCATCTTTGAAATTTATTCAAATTGCTTTAAAATTAATGATTGGTGAACAGACTGAAGTTGCATTTACTGCATGTAGGTGTATTTCGGAGTTGATTTTCAGTCTAATAGGTTTGTATCGTATCCCATCACGTAAATGTATTTATCCCATACAAATCTGTCAAGAAAAAATGATCACCAATACCACTGATTTATCGATTTTGCCAAATCATCATCCTAATGTTAATTCACCGATGATAGCTGGGCCTCGTCCAGATAACTTATGGTTATTCTTTAATGAAAATGCTAAAATTTTACAATCAGATAAAGCATATGCATTCCATCATCACGTTGTGTCGATAAATTGTGGTTTCGTGTAAGTAGATATCGATCAAATCATGCTTATGTTTAATTGATCTTATCAAGTTCGTTTTTTTTAAATTATTTTATTCCAAGTTCTATAAAACTGGGGACATATGTAACATAAAGTGCTTCGTATCTATGGTTTTCATTTTTAGTTTACCACTATCATTCCTTCGTATGCAGTTTGTAACTAGTGCTTCTGATATGTTAAAATACTCATATCTTCGATTTTTCTACATACTAGATACAACCTCCACATATAGTTTTCCTCTTTCTCGCTAATTCGAAAGGCCAAATAAGATTAATTAAATTGAGATGTGTTGAAAAGTTCAGATTTACAGTAGGAAAATGTCAGAATTAGATGTGTTAGAAACTTTTTTTCATCATTTCAAATATTTCCAACTGTTGTATGTTATGATTATCGATCAAACCAACATGCTTTAGGTTGCTTAACCTTTTATTGTACTATTCCGTTCCATACAACAAAGTTTAAATTCGATTTCACCAAGATCACAGGTTGGCATTCTTCTCTATGCCCAACGTATCTCGCCGTAATTAAAGTAAGTCCAGAAATAAATCTGTATTTATAATCTAATTTGAAAAGGATGGAAGAAACTTACATTGAATTAATAATATTTCTCCCATTGGTTTTGTTAATCGGGTTTTCAAAAGAAATGCCACTAAGGTTTCATCCTGTAGAAACTGAACATCACGTGATTCATTATTTATTTTTGCCTTTTATGTGCTTACCCGTATATATGTATATAGTCATATGTTTATGCTGCATCATATAATCATCTGATTTTCATGAAGAACGAGTAACAGATACTTTTTAAAATGATTTACTTTGGTGTTTTTTTTAATTGTGGCATACAATTTTTATCCGATTTTTCATGCAACATTTTCACTAGACGGTTGCATTTTAACCTTTTTTAAATTATCAGTATAGGGTTGTGGAGATTATTAGGTTATTGATTGAGATCATGAATGGACCAGTGTTAGACCACCATTAAAAACCTGAGAGCACTGGACGGCCGTTTCGTCTCATCGTGGGACTCCTCAGCAGTGTGCATCCACGACCCTCGAGCAGGAATCGAACCCAGGGCCTTCAGTCTCGCGCGCGATCGCTTAACCTACTAGACCACTGAGCCGGCATCCAGTGGTGTTAGTGTCTAGCTCCAACCATCTTCCATTGTACTGAGGTAGTACCTGTCTCTACCCGACACAGATTAACCCCACTGGTCACGGCTTCTCACTAGAACTCCGAGGATTCCCTCACGACGGTAGTCACTAGTGATCACACGGTAATTGTCAGTATAGGGTTGGGAAGATTACTAAGTTATTGATTGAGATCTTGAACCGATTTATGCTGAAGAGTCCCACAATGGGACGAAACGGCCGTCCAGGTTTTCAATGGTGGTCTAATATCAATCGGTTCAAGATCCCAATCAATAATTTCTCAAATTAATCATAATAATTACTTGTCGGTATTTTTCAGTGGATACTTTAGGGAAAATAAGCATTCAACTTGTGCTTTAAATATCGACGCGCTGAACATTATTGCTATTTTCTTTTATCGAACATTGCAATGTTTCTATAGTATAAACCCGCGTTATGTATTATATTTGAGACTAGGATAAATTATCAGTCATATTTCGATCAGAACTATGTATTAGATAACATGCGTTGATAGATAATTTCAAAAAAATTATCTGTCGCGCTACTCGATTGTAACGCCTCTGTATCCAACAAGAGAAATCAATTATTGGAAGAATGTAAATGTATCTTACAGTATGACTCGTTGAGCTGAAGCTCTTTTCAGATTGTATTCAATCAGTTACATAAAATCATAATAGGTCTGTTCATGTTTTCTAGTATGTGATATACAAAATCCTTTATGGTGAACATTTATCGTCGTATCATCTTTCCACACCTTTCCATTTGATATATTGTCTATATAATTTCATAAAGATATTTAACCATCGATGGGACTATTATTAATAATCTTATTATACCTATTGAACCATTATACAATTAATTTAGCATAAGAACTATCGTCATCTAGTTCATTTTTGAATCTGTATAGTATATAATTGTTAAAATAATAAACAGAGGGAGTATAAATGTTACTAACCGGATAGTTGAAATTATTAGCATGTTATTTAAATGATAATCAAAATTATAAAGATTTTTTTGTAGTAATAATAATAAGATAAATAACAAACATTTACATGAACATAAATGTAAAATGTAGTAGACCTTAGGCCATCGTAAAGACATATCGTTATTGTACTGTGTTCTTTAGACTTTGAATGACTTAACCTTCTTCATTATAAAGTAGGTTTAGACATTGATCTTATATACAGTGTTGAAGTATGAATTTGAGGTTAAACGTTATAATTCTTTTATCAGAGATCACTTAAGATTTTCCGGAAAACTGTGTGGCTAAATAATTCTCCGAATATTTGTCCACTTCTGTTAGACTTTCATGAAACATCATTTACACTCCCTAAAGTTAACTAATCTACATGAATACGGATTTTCCTCCTATTCTAACATGTCTATATATTTTGTACAAAAAATACCACTTCACATTTCTCTTTATCGTGTGCTCTTTTAGTCGTTCAGTCTCCTAAATGGTAAGTGTCTGCAGAATGATTTCTGCTGACTCTGTTGTTGTTGCCGTACCCAGCATTTTTTTCTAATAAACTAGTATGTTTGTTATGAATTTCGCATATATATATATATATATATATATATATATATATATATATATATATATATATATATATATATATATGCATTTTAACCTGTAATTAGAAATTATAGTATATCTAACTATTAACAAACATTTTAGTTCAACTGTGCTTAGTATGTGAGTTGATAAATAGTCGGTATTCATATCTATCATTGAACTTTGTACATTTGATAGGTTGTATGATAATAAAAATACATATATGAACATATGTCAGGTTTTAGTGACACACATTTTCTAACATCAGGGAGTTCTTGAGCTCATGTGATCATTCCCTATTATCATCATCGATAGTAGATATTCTTAACGTGTCAGTCAATAGATCTCAGTGTTCAAAGCTTACGTGCTTCATGTAAGTCCTGGAAATTTTAGGTTTAATATCAGAATGAACCGTTATACCATATTTTGAAACATCCTCAAGTTAGAATGTAACATCTTTTGCTTGGTTCTTGCACAACATTTAACTCCAACTTTGTATGAATAATTTACGATATTAACATCAATATAAACAGGAGTTTTAGTGAACATTAAACATTATCCACTAGACCAATGATCACTATCTAACCTGAAGTTATTTGACCAGCTTTAAATACATAAAATGTATTGCTAGTATTATTAAACAAATATCACTTCTTGTACATTCTTTCTTCATCATATATGTATGTGATTTAACAATTGAATTGATAAGTCAATTGAAGCTAGACCACCATGGAAAACCTGGAAGCACTGGACGGTCTTTTCGTCCTGTTGTGGGACTTCTCAACAGTGTTCATCCACGATCCCGCCCCGCGAGATTCGGATCCAGGGCCTATCAGTCTCGCGTGCGAACGCTTAACCTTTAGACCACTGAGGCGACATCCAATGGTGTTAATGTCTAACTTCAACTAATCCACGAAATTGGGCGACACACACACCATTGTCATCTGTGAGTTACTATCTTACAACAGACTCGGTTGAACTCCACTGGTCAAAGCTTCTCACTAGAACTAAGAAAAAATTCTTGGAGACTGTCACTAGTGTATATGTATGCATAGCTAAATTTAACTAGGTTTTACCAGCTTCCTTAATTCACTAGCTGTTTACTCATATGCACACATTGTTGAGAATTTATGTCTATTATTTCAATGTTTTCACTATATCCTCTAATCCATTATAATAGTTTATTGTTATCCTAAACTTTTATCACGTAAAAACATGTTTTTGGCGAGACTATAATTTATAGATGGAACCAATCAGGTGTAGAATAACAAGTCTCGGATTTTGGCACGAAATTCATTCATTCGTTTGGCTAAATAAAATTTCGGCATCATAACTGATGTCAGTTCGTGATGAAAACCATAAATCCAATTCCTAACGTTAACCATTAGTTGTAAATCATAATTCGAATTCCTCACACTAAATTATAACCCTCATTAAGTCTTAGTTATTAGGTGGACACTCTCAAGGTCACCTTAGTGTCGCTCAGCCGTCGTCCATAAATTATAGTCTCATCATTTCTTTTTAAAAAAACAGGAAAAAAAATTTATAGCATATTTAATTTCCATATTAATTATAACAAACAATTAAAGCACAGTATTTATTTGTTTTATCCACTTATTTTCTCTGAGGTGTACTTTTCTAATTATCCCAATGAATAATGTAAAAAAGAATTTCATGTTTTATTATTATTACTTATTGAATTCTCTATGCACATGCCTAAATTTCACTTATGAGCAACCATACTACTAACTTACACCAGTTAGGATAAATACAGTTAACTATCTGGTAAATTTAAGGTATCATGATTTTCAACTGATTGATTTCATCCATATAGTTTCAAAAAGAAATTAATACTGTCAAAGTATGTAAATATTGAAATGATTCATTGATAGTTTTGTTTTATTTCATATTATTTGATATTATTGCATCAACTCAATTCAAGGTGTGATAAATGTACATCATTGATATTGTGTATAATTTATCATGTTATATCACAAACTGAAGTAATGTTACATGAAATTTTAGTTTTTGACGTACTGGTCTAAAGTCACCTTCCCAGCTGCGAGACATTCAAAGTCTTCGGTCCGACCTTGTTTCGAATTATGAGTATATGTTTTCTTGATAAAATTGCATTCTTTGATGTTGGTGTTTCACACACGAGGCTTTCATTATATTTACGATTATTTCAACTGATAAACCATTACATTACACTGTAGCGCTAACCTCGAACCACTAACATGACCCATTCGTATTTTACCTGTATCTAGTCACTTGTTTTTTACGTTCATTTATTCTCTTCTCTTTTACACTGAATATTCTCGTCGTTCCTTTCTGCGGTCGCTCAGTTACTATCCTACTCATTTATATATCTACGATCCACATGTTATTCTACCTTATCCAACATTTGATAAAAATGGACAATTAATTGCAGAAAAACCATTAAATCAAACTAATTTAACTACTACTATGACTGTTTCAAATGATAATTCAAACAACATTGCCTCATCTAAACAACCATCATGGTTATCTCATTTCATTATTGATGATGATGAAAATGACAATAGACAACAGACTGCTTGTTTATTGGCGAAGAAATTATGCAGTCCTTTGAGTGAAACACGTGAATTTTGGACATCATTAGCCAAACAATTACTATATATGCATAGATCTCATTTTGATAAACAAGGTTACTATACATTCATAACACATTATTTAATTAGATCATGTTTATTGGCTTTTGGTCCGAAAAATATGTTGGAACATTTAGAATATTTTATGAAAACCTTACTTATCACATTACCTAATTCTAAATTACCATTGGATGGGAAAGCCGAGTTTATTGGTTTCTATTGGATACAAGTTGTGTTGAGTGATATCGTTAATATTAGTTCATTATGGTCACGTCAGTGGAAATACTATTTTTGGGGTTGTTTCATACCAAGAATATTGTGTTGGTCAGAAATTTGTGCATTAAATGTATCAGTTAATGATTTGGCTCAATCGGTTGATGAAAAATTACATCCAGCTGTAAGACATGTTCAATGGACGATGCCAATTTATGCCGGAAGATTTGCTGGAGGAAGAGATGATGATGATATTACAGGTTAGAATACTATTTAAATGTATTACGTCTCACAATTTTCACAACTGATGTAGATCCAGATATAAAGTAAAAAGAATAATACTGTATTGTATTGGAATTATAACTGAGTGCACAACAGTGTTCAAAGCAACCATCATTATGTACAAACATCACAGTTCTTTCTTAGGGTATTGTTTCCCGAGTCATTAAACTTAATGTGTTTAACTTTAAAGATATTTGGGTGTGGAGTGGATGCGAAAGATGCATCCTTACTGTGGTGCTTTATCCAATTATTTCCACATACTGTCAATTTCTCCAGTATCTTACTAAGAGGAGAATCATGTTACGAGTTAGATCAAAAACAGGATTTTAACACTTCGAAAATTATTTTGAGATAGATTAGTGTATATACCATCGATGCACACTTATTCAACAGTTGGTTCGTGGTATTTTTATATTTATTCTTGTTATATATCGCTTTTCTTACGGTTATGACCCGGCTATTCCTATTGCTTAGTATTCTCGGACACCGATTCACTCGACAAGTCCCCAAATCAAAACACGGTTGAACAGGAAGAGATTATATTCCAAATAACAAGGTTAGATGGAAGTCAGAAGCACAATAGAGAAAAACGTCAGTATATTTATAGTATCCTACATGAGAAGATTCTAGAGTGTTCTCCAACTATCGACTAGTGCTGATTGGTTAAGAATTAGCCAATCAGCGTGCACCAAAGCAATCATGCATTGAGCATGCTTTAATCCGGTCTATGTCCCGCTAACACCTCCCCTTTGAGCAGATTCGTAGGATCTGGTGCTAGGGTCCAACTGCAACCGAGTGACTGGCCTGTGCTTTCGATTAGTCCATCGTCTAGGCAATAGTGAAGTATCACTCTTTTCTTGCACAGAAACTGACGTGTCTATTCCCGGCGTTTTGATTTCAAAGGTGTCTAGCAGAACATCAAGAGGTAATCGATATTGAATCTTGTTGCTGGCTATCGAAGTTGCTTTCAATTGGTTAGCATGACGTACCCAAACTTCCGAGCCAACTGACACCTCGTAAACCACACTCCCCTTCTTTTTCACGATCCGACCAGCTGTCCATGTAGGGTGTTTCCCACGATAGTCCATAGCAAGCACTTTTTGTCCCACCGTGAACAATCGTCTTTGTGCCCCATGATGTCGGTTAAACTGATTCTCCATCGATAGGTTTCGTTGGGGTTCAATAGCTGGCGTAGGACGGATGGCATCGAAATGTGTTCGTATCTTTCTGCCAAGTAGAGCTTCTGCTGGAGAGACCCCGTTAATTGTCTGAGGGTTCGGTGTAGAGCGATAAATAAACAGGAACCTCTCTAAGATATCTTCAGTGGTCCCTTCCCCTTTGGATTTTTTTAGAGCATTTTTAAATGTACTCACAAAGCGTTCCACTTGGCCATTTGATTGGGGATGGAATGGAGGTGTTCGCAGGTGCTGGATTCCGTTCTGCCGACAAAATTGTGAGAAGATTCCGGACGTAAACTGTGTTCCGTTGTCACTAACTATCAATTCCGGGATTCCAAAACGACTGAATAGTTGACGTAGTTTACTGACTGTGCAGCTTGCAGTAGGGTGTTCCATGAGAAAAATTTCTGGCCACTTGCTATATGCATCAACCACCAAAAGATAATTTTGTCCATGGAGTGGACCAGCAAAGTCCAAATGTATACGCTGCCACGGTAACTGTGGTATTGGCCATGATTGCAGCTCTGCTTTTCGCGGTGCTTTTGTCGCTAATGCACATTTGGTACAGGAACGGGATAGCTGCTCCAGTTGGGTGTCTAAATGCGGCCAGTATACATAACTTCGTGCTAGTGCTTTCATGCGATTTATTCCAGGATGTCCTGCATGCAACTGTTCAAGCACTGCTGGTTGTAGCTTCTTGGGAATTATGACACGTTCGGCAAACAGCAGACAGTCATCGATGATTGAAAGAGAGAGTCTTCGTTGGTAAAACTGTTGAAGCTCTGTGGAACTGATTTTCGAGGGCCACCCTTCTAGGTGGAACTTTCTAACTTCTTGTAGTGTTGGGTCTCGAAGCGTTTCTTCCCTGACTTCATCTGACGACACTGGAGTGTTTCGAATGGCATCTGCCACTATACTTCGTATTTCTGGATCTACTGTTGTGGAGGCGATGATTATATCCTCTGGTCCAGGATGTTGAACTCCAATTAATCGGGAGAGAGCGTCAGCTTGACCGATAGTATTTGTCGACTGATACTTGATATTAAAATCATAACTCAGGAGCATTGTTGCCCAGCGCTGTAGTCTATTAGCCGTATAGACAGGGATTCCTTTCTTAGAACCAAAGATTGCAATCAAAGGTTTGTGATCTGTCAGTAGAGTAAATGTACGACCATAGAGCATTTTATGAAATCTTTTGACTGCGAAAATGATTGCAAGAGCTTCCTTTTCAATTTGGCTGTAGTTTCGCTCGGCTGGAGTAAGTGATCTAGCAGCATGGGCAATTGTCTTTTCTGATTTATCCGGAAACACGTGAGATATCACTGCTCCAACTCCATGACTTGAGGCATCAGATGCAACAACAATTTCCAAGCTGGGATCGAAGTGCGTCAAAAGAATCTTTGAGCTGAGCATTGATTTGACTCTGTCAAAAGATGCTTGACATTCTGCTGACCACTGCCAAGGTTTATCTTTCGATAGTAATTCATTTAGGGGACCTCTCACTCGATGCATTTCAGGCAAGAATGTGCTGTAATGACTGATTAACCCCAAGAAGGATCTTAATGAAGAAACATCAGTTGGTGCAGGCATCTTCTGAATGGCTTCGATGTTGGCAGGATCTGGTCGGCGACCGTTCTTATCTAAGATAAAACCAAGGTATTTGATCGAATGCATGAAAAAGATACATTTTTCCTCACGTAGTTGGAAACCATACTCCAACACTCGGTTAAGGACTTGGTGTAGTCGATCAGAAAGTTCACTATCAGTTGAACCCATAACTATGATATCATCTAGGTAAGCTGCTGTACCAGGTATACCTGTTAGCATCGTATCCATTATTTGCTGAAAGATGGCGGGTGCGGTCTTGATGCCAAATGGTAGACGAGTGTATTGAAATAACCCTCGATGAGTGTTAATAGTCAGAAGCTCTCTACTATCTTCATCTACTTCCACTTGGAGATAAGCATCAGAGAAGTCTATTTTCGCGAAGCATGTCCCACCATTAAGCTTGGCAAACAGGTCTTCAGGAACTGGTAATGGATATTGATATACATCTAATGCAGCATTTAAACCGGTCGAGAAATCGGCACATATGCGTATAGTCCCATTGGCCTTCTTAATCACTACGATCGGTGCGGCCCATGCAGAGTAGTTAACTGGTCGGATTACACCAGCCTGTTGCAAGCGATTAAGTTCCTGGTCGACTAGCTCAAGAGCAGCATATGGTACAGGACGTCTCGGGCGAAAAATAGGTATGGCATCTGGTTTTACTGGTAAATGCGCTTTCATCTTGGTACAGTGGCCAAGGCTATTCTGAAAAACAGAGGCAAACTTTCTTTTCAGTTTTTCTAGTAACCTTTCACCTGTCTTCTTTGGAAGTACTGAGCTGTTCAATGATGAACACGATACGTTACAGACACTGTTAATTGGTACATCCATTATTCCAAGTTTGTCTAACATATCTAGACCAAGAAGATCAAGGTTCGGCCGTTCTGTTAGGTAACATATTCCTGTACAGTTAGTTCCATTGAAGGAAAATTCACACTGTAATTCACCAACCAGTTTTAGCACACCACCTGATGCGTTTTTAGCCGTTTTCTTAGATGGCTTCATTGGCGGTTTACCCAGCAAGTTATATGTTTCTCTAGACACTAACGTGATATCTGATGCCGTGTCAATTTGAAGACGAGCTGATATGCCGTTTATCTGGATAGTAACATACTTTCTCTGAATGTCATAGTTTGTTTGAAAGGCAGCTACCAAAGAAAGAGATTTGGACTCGGCTGATTTCACATGTCGAGGACGTTTATGCTTCTTCTTAGGCTGAGACGTACGCTTCGGTGGACAATGACCTTCTTTATGTCCACGTTTGTTGCACTCCTGACATTTATGCTTCTTGAACGGACAGAATCGTGCATAATGCCAATCACCGCATAACCAGCATGCAGTCCTTGGTTTGTTACGAGTTGTTACCGGCTTCTGAACTTTTAACCTAGTAATAGTATTTACACTACCGCAGGTTAAATTAGGATTTACCTGTTCAATCAACTCGTTGTCGTGTCTGATGCTTTGTAGACGCTTACACTCATCTGTCAATGTTCTGAGTGTGACGTTTGGATCTTGGTCCAGTCGAGCCAAAAGTCTAGTCCTGATCTCAGCGTCTTGTGGTGACTGAAGAGCTTTGATGAATATTAAGCATTTAAATTGGTCATCAGTCAACGAGCGCAACTTGAAACGTTCACATTCTCTGTTGACAATGTCTGCTAGAACACCATATTCATCAGCTTCGCGTTTCACCAAATTTAGACACCGATATCGAATACTAAACAACGAGGATGACTCGCCGAATATCTCTGACAGCTGAAATACCGTCTCCTCGAAACTGAGCTCTCGAGGTAACTTTGGCAAAATATGGTCAGCAAAACGTGCATGTTCGTTGCTTCCCAACTTACGTACCAACAATCGGGTCTTCCACGCATCGTCTTGATTACAGAATTCTGTTCTAAATGTATCTTCCCAACGTCTGAACCACGTGAGAAAAGTATTTCCATTTTCGGGATCATAGACGAATTCTGGGATGCTGCTAGCAACTGCATCACAAGACGAACTTGAAATAGCGTGTGAACTCGAACTGTGGATGTTGAACTGTCGAGTCAGAGTCTCCAACAACCGCATTTGTGCATCAAGTTGTGCTTGCTGTTGTTGTAGTATTCGGTTAAGCTGGTCATCTGATATAGGCATCTTGAATTTGTTTTCCTTTTTCCCCGTCGCCACTGTTATATATCGCTTTTCTTACGGTTATGACCCGGCTATTCCTATTGCTTAGTATTCTCGGACACCGATTCACTCGACAAGTCCCCAAATCAAAACACGGTTGAACAGGAAGAGATTATATTCCAAATAACAAGGTTAGATGGAAGTCAGAAGCACAATAGAGAAAAACGTCAGTATATTTATAGTATCCTACATGAGAAGATTCTAGAGTGTTCTCCAACTATCGACTAGTGCTGATTGGTTAAGAATTAGCCAATCAGCGTGCACCAAAGCAATCATGCATTGAGCATGCTTTAATCCGGTCTATGTCCCGCTAACAATTCTACTTGTGAACTTTCATTCCACTGATTAATTATTACTATATCTTTTCCCATTCACAAGTCACGGTTAAGAAAAGGAACTCATGGTGTCATTGAAGAAGAATTAAGACAGTAATTGTCTTAATTCTTTTTAAATTACAGTTAATCAATTCTGTTACCCAACTTTCTATCACTTATGTCTTATGTAGCTTTTGGGATTTGTTAATTATGATACATTGTAGTTCAGTATTTTATGTAAATAATCACGTGCTTTCGAGTTTGAAAATGATACAAGCTATCTGACCCATTTCTACGGTATTCTAACTTGTAAATTAAAAAAAGGTTTATTTTGTATGGAGCGATAGCTTTTTAGAGTATGTATGTGCCTAACCTTGCTGATTGTTGATACTCCCACTTGATACAACTACATACTACTATTTTATAATTTTAAAGTAGGTATATTTTGCAGTTGTGTTCTTAATGTCTTATTCGAAAGACATACCTCATTTGTTGTGCTTTTGATAGCATATTTGTCAGTTGAATTTTTCAAGATTAGATGTTTTTTAATTCCTGATGTTTAAATAATTTCCTGTGGCAGTATCATGCTTTTAAATAATTCTCCTTCTTATATTTCTAAGTTCTTATGTATCATTCGATTTTATTATATTCAGATCTTGGTTAGTAATGGAATCCGGGAAGTCCGTGTCATCCTGTCTAAGACCTGTTACTTAGTGCGCCTTCATTCCATTGTCAGTATTCTCACTGAGACACAAATTTAGTACCTATTGCTGCCAAAATCAATGAATGAATTTCAAAATGAACTACTAACTTCAAATAATCATTAAGTTGTTTAACGGATGTGATGTTTATTAGTAAGAGTTTGTATTATTCCCGTCTTAATATTCAGTCTTGAATATAACTCGGTTGTTGAGTTATAGTCTTCAAATGGTTTCTGTAAGTAGTTTAAGGAGGGCATACAACTTATAGTTTTTATTGGATGTTGCCTAATATGTAGGCGACGTTTCCTGACTAAGACTTTTAAATAAGGCAGTAACTCAGTAGTTTTTCTAAAGAGTTATGTAAATATACTCCTAATCAAAATTACTTTCAGTCCTTATGATAGTATGTATACAAGGAAAATATGTAGTGTTTATTAATGGCATATTGAACTTTCGGTGTGTGTTTTTTTCAATTTTTTAACATTTGTTTTTGTTTCACTTTCTCTATGCTTTCCTTCTTAGCCGACTGCAGAACTCATTCGGAAGATGTAAACTCAAATCGTAATCATTGTGATAAAACATTGTTATCTAACACTGTTAAACAATCATTAGCTGGTGGGCCGTTTCATCGTATTCATTTTATGTATGATTATATTATTAATTGTGCTACAATTAATTATAATTCAGATGTCCACTGTTTACACCCATTATGGGATTGGGCTATACAAGGATTAATTGACTCTAATAATAATAATAATAATAATAATAATAATAATAATAATAATAATAATAATAATAATAATAATAATAATAATAATAATAATAATAATAATAATAACGATTCGCAAATGAATCCATCATCATTTTGTCAACACACTATTAATAAAGATCACGGAATTACTTCTATTGAAGATACTTGTCCATCATGTATATTAATACAGCATTTACCATTAGTACACCGTCGAGTATTCTATGAAAGATTATGTTATAAATTTGTATTTTCATTAGGTTGGCTTGGTATACCATTATATAGACGATTATTATCTTATCAACAATGTTATTCTACTATAAACAATTCTACTCTATGGTATTCACAAGCATGTAATAACTCTGTATGGTTAAGAGATTTATCAGCCAGTAATGCTGTTTATCGTGTATTACCTATTAATAATTTAATTTATCATAATAATAAAAATAATTTAAATTTAATTCGATATAAATTAAAACAAACTGAATTAATATGTCTGTCAAATCAATTATCAATAAAAGATGCTTTAAATTATCAATTATTTATAAGAAATTTATTTAAAATTGATGATCCATTAGAATTACTCGGTGGTGAGTTTTTATTCAAATCGGTAAGTGTTTACAATGTTCTATATTCTTTTCTTTCTTTTCTTTTTTTTAAAAAAAAAATTCTATATGATGACAGAAGTTTTAAATAGATAGATATAACGAAATAGAAACTTACACGAAGCACTAATATAGTTTTCATTGTTATATTACAATAGAATTGAATTAGGCAAATAGTTTACATTTCTTCATACTACTTAGATTTTGATTCAAAGCCAATTCTGATGAATTATGTAACAAGTAAAGTTAACTAAGTATATATATTAACACCAATTTATTGACTTTATCAACTTATTTCCTGCTTCAAACTAGTGTTATTTTTTTTAGCACAATAACAGTTTTCCTATCTTAGTGAACTGTCATATGAAAATACTAGTTTGAAAACGTCTATAATTACTTATCATCTATATTTATCTTCACTTAATGGGAAAATGGTGTCAGTATGATTTAATTTAATAAGTGGCTGTTTGTATGGAGGTTAATCTTCATAAAGTCAGATGAACTGAGTTTTACCTCCGGTAACTTATCTATGAAAAATTGAATAAATATGCTACTAATAGATAACCTTGACGTACGTACTTTAAATGATTGCTTATCTTGAATGCTGTTTTGATCATGAGTATGGCCCTCAAATGCCCTTGTACGGCCAAGACTGGAGAGAGTCAGCTCCCCCTCTCAAATGCTCTCACATGACCACGCATATGCAGCCATTGCCAGGGAAGTCCTACTTACTGCCTTCTCGCGGCATTACTGCTGTTTACGAAATTTAGAGGACGAAAAGCGAATGTCTTGCGCTTTAAGCGGATTGGTTGATATGGATGGTTTACCTAGGGGAGTTGGAAAACCCTAATTCTAAACCAATGATGTTCATGGGCTCCAGTATCCTAAGGAAACAAATGACGCATGAACCTGCTGTCGGTTATGGGTTACCATGGGACCGCATCTCCTTACGCTGCTTCACCACCTTGTGGATCAGATCTTTGGGTCGAGGGCTCCTGGTGTGGCCTCCTACGAAAATCACCTGCTTTGGTTCGGACAGTCGGATAATATCACAGCCTACACATAAATCAAGTGACTTGTGTGGTGCATATGTATTCGGTCCCCTTTTCGTACCAATATTTGTGTGTTCAAATAAATAAATCATGAATATGACAGTAAATGACCTTCATTAGTATGATCAAGTTGTTATTACTAACAAACTCATCAAGTCGTAATGTGTATGATATTACGTAGTAAACAGTAAAGATTACCACATATACTAAACAGAAATAACGTCATCTTCTATTCAGCTAACCGCAACTAACCTAGATATCTAACATTGTGTACGAGTACATTTGCAATGTTCTTAGAAATCAAGTGAAAATCTAACATACTAAAACTTTTAAAATTCAGTTGCTGAAAATGCTGTTTTCAAACAATGCACATAAGAGTTTTATCATAGTAAAATTTCGTCGATGTGAAGATATTAATTCAATATTGTACTATATAAATCATAAAATAGCAACATTTAGAAGTTATTTTTGAAATTATCAACATTCGTGACATAGTTTTATGATGATAAATCCCTCTTTATGATAGAAACCAGCTGGTTTATTCTCATTCGAAACTAGCTCAGAGATGCTGTTGCTGTTATAGAGGATACGTAATAATGATTTATATTGAAGACAGTTTTGGAATTTTTAAAACATTTGAATAAGACTGATTTATTGTTGGAATGTAGTGGTACAAACTCATTAAGTGATAACTTCTCACATGACCTGGTTATGGACTAAAATCTTAATTGGAAAATAGCCGATGGATGAGCATTCATAAGATCCTGATTTCGTTGATTACTTATGTACCAATGGAGCTATGATCTAACTATCAGATTTGATTCTTATGTAGTAATATGAAATACGGAACGCTTGATTTATATAAAATATAAAGATTAAACATATTTTCTAAACTGAACAAGTTTCCATGGTCAGATAAATCCCATCATTCTTATACTATTTTCTTGCCTTGTCTACAGTTCTTACCATTACTTGTTCGTGATACATTGAATGTTTTACGATTAAAAAGGAAAAAATTGTCAGAATCAAGCTTAATGTTATCGGTAGCTCCACCTGAACAAATTAATTCTACTATTATTCAAGAAATTTACAAAAATATGGTAAGTCCACGTATTATTATTATTATTATTATTATTATTATTATTATTATTATTATTATTATTATTATTATTATTATTATTATTATATTATTATTATTATTATTATTGAAAGATTTGTTTCTTTTTTTATAGAATACCATTGAAGTTACAACAGACAACAACAATCATGATGATAATAATAATAGCAATGTAATTCTCAATAATTATCGTCTAGCTGAAATTATAGTATTATCCAATCGCTTATATTGTTTATTTTCATGTTTAAGACTTCTCTTAAATTACAGTTGTCCTACATTTATCCCATCATTATCGTCATCATCATCATCATCATCATCATCATCATCATCATCATCATCATCATCATCATCATCATCATCATCATCATCATCATCATCATCATCATCAATAGTAATAATAAATGATGAGAATTTCATTCAAATGAATCAATATCAATATGCATTTTTAAGTCGTACAAGTATCTGTTGTTTATTAGCCCCAATTGTAGCCGATATGTGTTCAATGGGTAATTCATATGATTATTTTACAACTGCATTAAATATGAAAATATTTTATCATAATTCTTATTTATCAAAAAAGCAAAATTATACCAAAATAGATGATGATATGAATGATGGTTTAATTTGTGCAATCTCTTCTTATTTAATCTATTTATCTGCATTACCTCTATCAGGGCAAGGTCAATCTGATATTAGTAATATTTTATCATTTATTGAGAATTTTTTAAAATATTTCCTACAACATGTATCATGGCGTACACGTGCTATAGGATTATTATTGTTAAGAAATCTTGTAGTATTCAATTTAGCAGCATTTCATGCTCCTGAATGCAATTTATCAGCAGTGAATGTTACTACTACTTCTACAGCCTTGGATAATTCTGTGAATAAACGGTTGAGAAGTATTTTATGGAAGTGTCTTAATGATTCTTTGATTGAAGTTAGTCAAGTTGCTATGTTTGTCCTGGCTATATTTATTGAAGTTGGTGTGATTAAGGTAAGAAAATACAGGGTTTATTTTGTTTACTTTTCAGTTTATTCAAAACATACTATCGTAAAATTTGGATCAAACCAAAATCACTTGTAACACCAAATGATGATTGTGACAAAGTATGACGTAACGGGTCTATACGGCTCTCTGCCTTTTGTTGGTTCTCTAGATGATGTCAGTATACAATAAAAATTATCTTCAATTTGTAGGAAATCTCTATAAATTCAACTATTTAGTGGCTGAATTATATGCTCATTGATGATTGACTAAGTTCAAGAGATTGGTTTTCCCTAAGTTCTAGCAGTACCTTGTTACGTGTAACATCAATTAAGACAACAGTGGGACAGTCATATATTTTGACCATATATATGATTCATTGAGACGCTAATCAATATCATTCTCAAGGTTTGCCAATCAGGACTCTACCCTGCATACTCTATTTCGCCTATAGCCTTGCGTCCTTAGCCTTAGCCAATGATACTTTCTGATTAATCCAATTAACTTTAAGCTGATGTAAGCTTTGCTCTTACGGATCTCACTATATATACGCCCTTTTTTATCTCTAGCCAAGCTTCTATTATTATATTTCATTCGCCCAGCATCTATCTCAAACACTAATGGTTTATATACAGACATATTGCACTACATTATTCCATAAAATGGAAAATCATAGTTATACACAGAAAGGCCAACAGTGGCAGTGAAACCAGGGAAGTTGTAAATAACTGATCAGCTCTAAATTACAAGTGATAAGAAGTATAGTAATTGTAAATTGACAAATTGTAAGCTTACAATAAATGGAATAAAGAAACATAATAATCTAGTTATTTAATAATTACCCAATCAAAATATAGACAATAATTGTCTTAAAAGTTCTTACTTCTCCAATACTCATTTCGTTATAACATAACTCATTTGTAAAATTTGGTGTTGAGGTCCACATACTTTTCATGTGTCAACGCATGAAAAAAATCTGATATATAGAAGTTATATATTACCATTATTGAACTGGCTCAATCGAAGTTAATGTCGAGCAGCCTAGTTTTCATAGTTCACAAGTTTAGTTTCTGACAAGAAAAAGAAATCAACTGTTTTCATGATGTGTTTTATAGAAGTGGTCAGCTAAAAAATCGTTTTATTTACAACTGTACTGTATAATCAAATGGTAGGATGTTGATGATGATTTTTCAAAGTGAAAACATCATGTGTATGTGTTTTTTTGTCAAGAACCACATTGTGGTACATGCTGTATTGTTCAATATTGTTACTAATTACTTTTTAATTATGTAATTTTGCATTTCATTATTTTGTTACACAACTACACATATGGTAATCCGTCCTTTTTGTTAATATTGAATGGTGTTTCTAAACAAGAAACAGTCATGGAAAGCATGAAAGAGAATGAAGAAATATTTTTGTGAAAGTCTATTCTTTAATTGCCAAATATAACGCTCAGTAATTGGAGCCTGATAATAAAAATTGTCTACTTCTACTTGGGCTAGTTTTTCGGTGTATAGTGTTTATTATTTATTTTTCTTCTGTTTCAAACTCAACCCCATCTATTGTCAGTTTCGAATTCTTTGGTTTGTTAGCTGAGTAGGGACACCAATCGTTACACACAAAAAAATATAGCTTAAAACCAAATACATAAATTAGTACTTGGTAAGCGAGCTACTGTAGGGGATAGCATCATCATAATTCTGAACTACAATTATGTTTTCACATCATGCTTCTGAAACTTAATAACTTAACTTGCACTTATCTATCGTTCTGTCTATGTCTTTTTATCGACTTATTTTTGAACTCATTAGTATTCGCTAATCACTCTGTAATTGTGTATTAAAGAATTAGTTTTGCACCACTAAATGTTCCTTATGATGAATTACAATAGCGGGCACAAGATCCATTCAGTTCCGCCTCCATCAAATGGTTCAGAAAACATTTTATGTTTGATTATATTCATAATTAAGAAATATGGTTATTATATGAAAGTTTATACATTGTGTTAATTTTTATGTTGTATTTTCTCAAGTATGATAAGAAATGGATTAGTCAACTGATGAGACAAATCAATCGACCCCTTCCAAATCAGTCAGTTATGCATATCAACCATAGCAATGATAGTACCAATACTCAACCAACTAATTTTTCAAACAATAATAATCATAATGAATATTCCATTGCTTTACGTGATCGTTATGCATCCATTTTAGCTTTATGCTCATTTGTTCATGGAAATCCACACAATACTCCTGATTACTTACCGCCAATTATTTCAAAACTTGCTGATCATTTACATGATTCACAATCAATTAAAAAAGTTATTTCATCAACTCTGTCGTCTTATTCACGTACTCATCAAGAGGTATGGCATGAACAGTCGTTGAAATTTACACCAGAACAATTAGATAATTATAGATATGTTATTTCAGATGCTTCTTATTATGTTTAATTGTGAAATGATCGCAAAAATGTTGCAGTACATGTTGAACAGTAGTGAAGCAGGTACATTTGTATTGTGCAGTAAACTTTTCTCATTTATTTTCATTATTATTTCTCTAGTTTAAATGTAAAACACTGATATTATGTCAAGAGTTTGTACGAAATATGTACAACACTGATTCTTCTGTAACTCTACTCTCTTTCACTGACTGTAATTTTTTCTGTATGATTTGATTGTATCAATGACGTCTGTGATTGTTTAATTTTGTTTTTAACTTGCTGATAGAATAAGTTATTTCATGAAGTATGTGTAAACAAGTAGTTTATACATGGTAGACATTTGTTTGTTTGTTTTACGGTAGATGTAAATGATTCAATGAATAAATAATGTAGACTATTTGTTGATTATTTTTTATCTTAACTCTCATACTAAATTAATTACTAACTTTCATTAAATATAACAATTAATTGTATTTAGTTAGTTATTGCTCAGTAACAAAGTTTTGATTTATAGACTTAACTTTAAGTCATTTATTTTATAATAATACCTGGTTTACTTAAATTAACGCAATTATTTACATTGTTGATAAAGCTATTGTCTCTGATATATAAAACCTTATACAAGGACTAAGTTTTATATTGTTAAAGAATGATACATTATTGTACGTTATGTTTATTTTATGCGCAAATTAACTTGTTCGTTGTTTTTTAATCCAGAGGAAAACAGCACAATGTTGATAGAAAACTAAATACAAATTATATGTATTTGCGAATAAAACATACAATTAAGGATAGGCATTTCTTCTTATTGAAGGTTCATATGAATATGAATCTCGACAGCGAGATATTTTTCTACTATTTTTTTGGCTGAATCGTCAGCGTTACTTAACTTGGATGATGATCTCTTTTCATTGCAGATGCGTAAGGATTAAATGATTATTGTTATTAAGTGTGAACTAGAATAAAACATTTTGAAGCATAATCTTATAGCTCGTACAAGACGTTTTGACGAGGAAAAGAAAGGATAGAAAGCAGAGATCTAATGGCCCATGTCTTTCAATGCTGTCATGACTATGCTACGTTGACAGATCATTTCTAGACCAATAAGTTAATAGTCTCATCAAATGTTCTTTCTAATTGCGCATGTGAAGTATGTAGGCTGCAACATTCTGCGTTGGTAGGCTAATCTTATATTGGTTCCACGAACCTTTAAATTTTCAATAAGTACGTTGACACACATTTCATTATATACTTAATTAACTTGTTTGTTTTTACAAACATTTATATGACAATTATCTTATGATTGTAAGTCTCCAACTAATGGTGTACGACAAAAGATAGTACTACGTTCGTGTCTTTTATTCTCGATAAAAGATAGGAGGCGATGCCGTCTTTTAAATTGTCCATTACAGCTTCACTCAGTTTCACTATCACTAGGTGGTGATGTAAATCCATGAAATGTTTGCTGAGTTCTCTGAAGCCTTTGAGGTAGTACCACACAAACTTCATAGTAATGGTTTCAAAGGTACGTTTCGCTGACTCAATTCTATTTTACTCTGAAGGACTGGACACATCATAATATGGTAGACGTTGTGCACGAGAGCTCGTAGAATTACGCACTTAATCGGTATGGAATGGCTCGTTCATGCAGATGTGTTGAACGTAGTTTCGAACACAAAAGCCAATTTATGTTTAACTTTATTGTTTTATTGTAAAAGTAAACCTGATAGATTAGTAACGTTGTCGTTGAAAGGAAACTCATACATACATATGCTTGTATTTCTGTATCGCATAGTATTCGTGTCGGAGTCATTTTGCCTCATTTATATTATATTGATACGTTTGTCATTTACAACATACCAGATTCTATACAGAGTGAAAGCCTGAAAGATAAGTCGAATTTGTTACCATAAGAGTTCAACACTACTATGACTAACACAGGCCGACCCCAGAATTCTATCTTAGTGAATCCGAGCTGTGGTTTGTTCAATTAGGGCATCATCCCGCAAGGCATAATATTAAATCGGAGGGAGTTCGATATCAAGATTTATGTTCTCTCCATTCTCCTTTAGTTGCTAAACCAGTCGGCGACTTGGGCCCTACAACTTCACAACTACACCTCTTTTAAGGCGTGAGATAATGAACTGTCTGTCATTGTTAAACTGACAAAGAATTCAAAGGCTTTTCCATGTAGAAACATAAAATTGATACGTAATCATCACAGTTTCTACATCACCCTCAAGCCGTAGTGGATGACAATAGCGAGACTGAAGCCGAGCTTAGAGCTTTCCTACTCTACCTCCAAAACTGCTTGGATGACGAACACCCTGATACCTTATAGTGCTTGTAAGATTCATTTTAAATGTTTTGTGTGTGAAAATCCCTCCATGTATACACTTGCAGTTTGTCCTCTACTTTGTTTGTACATTTTATTAGCCTTTTTGATTCCATTTGAGTTGGTAATATTTATATTTTATTATAGTTTCTATATTTTTACGCCTTCATTAGGTTTCCATGTTTCTTTTGAACTGCATTTATGTTGTTTTACTTGATACTTATTCTTGGCGGCAGCCATGTTCGTTTGTTCCTTGTTTGTTGCCTGTATTGACTGGAACTGTGCATTTTTATTGTGAATTAAAGCACTCTTGCAGAGTTGGAAACACTGTGTTATAAAGCAACCAAATATTATCTTTTGAACGAATCTGTACGTAGTCTATTGTGATAATTAAAAGTATTTGAATTATAGCACGAACTAAGAATCCAGAAATAACGTAACAAGATCAAGAAGTACTAGATAAGCACAAACGAATGTACTGTATTTAGAATTCGAAATCAAGCACTCAACAAGTACAAAGGAATCATTAGTTCATTCAAACACCACATCTATCCAGGCAGGATAGAATAACATTTATTTGTTGTGATTGGTACTTTCCTCGCATATTTAATCAACCTCCTTTTTTATTGTAATTTAGAATTGATTAATTGAACAATTATTGGTTGAATTGCTGGGTGGTCATATTTGTTTAGGTAACAATGTACATTTAAACTTATAATGAATTTGAGAACCATCATTCTACCCAATCACTTTATTTTGGTTTCAACCGAGCAAGGGCGCGTATCTAACCCACCTAGACAGCTATTCTTATCTCCAAACCTTAGTTTGGATTTAACAGTGGTATTTGTTCCTAGCCATATGATTCTTAAAAATTCTTAGAAAATTATGTCTAATCATAATTCAAACCTCAAGGATAACGAATATTGCGATATTTATGGAGAAAACTTTGAGGTCAGACTTAGGCACATGATAGATCCATTCTATCGACCATTACTCGATAAATATTCTGAGATATACCGACTGCGACCGAAATTGTCGTGTGTAACCAGTAACGTTACACATCACATCACGATTACAGAACCTCCTGTACTCTCGAAAGCGCGCCGACTGGTTCCCGAAAAACTGAGGTTGGCCAAAAACGAATTCGATCACGTGATAGAGTTAGGTGTCATCTGGCCGTCAAGCAACCCATGTGCCTCTGTTGCACATGGTCCCCAAAAAGGACAGCACTGATTGGCGTCCAACTGGTGACTATCGGCGATTGAATGCAAAAACCATTCTCGATCGTTACTAGTTCTCCTACATTCACGACTTGAAATGTACAACTGTCTTTTCGAAAATCGACTTGGTTAAAGCTTATAACCGAATTCCCATGGCCACTGAAGATATTCCGAAAACAGCTATCATAAATCTCTTCGAACTTTACGAATTGCTGCGCATGCCTTTCGGCCTAAGCAATGCTGCCCAAACATTCCAATGGTCCATAGACGACGTTTTTCGGAGTCTCAACTTCGTACATGCGTATGTTGATGAATGCCTGATAGCAAGTCCGGACAAAGAATCGCATCTCCAGCACCTGGATATTGTTTTCGAACATGGCATTATTGTAGGCATTCAGAAATGCCAAATCCGAACCGACTCCTTAGATTTCTCAGGACACAGTATTGATTTGCAAGGCATCCAACCTCTTAAAAGCAAAGTGACGGCCATTCTGGATTACCCGAAACCGACCACCATTAAACAATTACGTATATTTAACGGCCTTGTAAGTTTTTATAGACGGTTCATACTGAAAAGTGCGTCCTTATGAAACCGCTAACCGACCAACTTCGTGGAAATGCAAAATCCATCAATTTGGACGATACCAATCGAGATTTCACCATTTTTACCGATCATAAACCGCTGACCTTTTATTAGGCTCATCGTCAGACAAGTACTAACCCTTTAGTCTTGACAACGGTTCCTTATGGTCTAGTGGAATGTCACGAAATAATGGTATTGATGCTGATTTATTATGCAAGATACCTCAATATATCGTGTTTAGAACGTTGAATTTATTTCACTTCCTACCCAGTAATCCTATTGCGTGCAAACTAGACAATTCGCTAAAAACGAAATCTGCTCAAGACCCTATACAATCTACAAAAAGTGGGCTTAAATAGCTTCGACAAAAAAGGGAGACGGTTATTTGTCTATAAGAATAGTGTTTTCAGTATTATATTTCATAACTAAACATAATCCCATACGTTCAACTCCTTTCTGAACCACCTTCATTTACACGGTTCTTTATCCAATCATAACTCGTTTATACTTATTTTCTTCAGCTTATTAAAATGCTGTTGCCTAATAAGTACATTAATAAAAGAGAATTAGACTGTGTAACCATACTTTAACTATTCTTTCATGAACATTGTCCGCTCTGCTTCACGTCCTTAATTTTTCTTACACCTTTTACAGCCTTCAAGAGATATGCCACCGAGAAAAGATATGGAACAGGTGACTTCGTCGTGCACCATCATTAAAGTCTCATATATTCCCGAGGGATCAAAGTTTGAGGTGTCTAGGAGCCCCAACTTCACATGGATCTATTCTCGACCATCAGTTGCACGTCGCAACGCAACCTGCATAAAGCGTGCCGACTGTAATATTGACAATACGAGTCTTACTAAAACCATCTACATTCATACCTTATAAAATATCAACACAGCTGCGTAACTTACTACAGTGAAAATTGTATCTTTCGTAACAATCTGATCTTGCATGTTGTTGCTACCTTGACGTGGTGGTCGGACATGCCTATCGTGATGAAGCAACCGAGCTATACTGGCTGGAACAACTGTTCCTCAAGGTCCTACCATGTCAGACAGGTCGGCTGAAGAGCGGTAAGACTAAAAGCAACAAACCCAAGGTCCGAAGGCGAAGTCGTACTGCTGACTGTACAGAGGTGTGACATCAGTAAGGTGTTTCCTTCAGACAACCAGCATGACAGCGATGCTGCCTTCCCACAAGGAGGGGTGGGGTTAGAAAAGGTCGACCCTAAAAATGCACACCTCGTCTTATCCCACGGATATCCCAAAAAGTACGGAGCTGACACAAGAATTACCCATAAAAAGGTCGTGTGTGACCGACCTCAAGCAGTTGTCCCTTGGGCACTGCGGTCACGCTCTCAGGTCACTAAGATCGCCTCTAATCCAATTCCCTTTTCAGGTACCTCCAGAAGAACCCTTCCTACATTGACTTTTACCTCTAAA